AATTCCAAAGAACTGTGGGCGAAATCGTTAAAAATATGTTTGCTGTAGATTACAATCGTTTTAAAAAACATTGAGTTTAGTTAATGTATGTTATACGTTTCAAAACAAGTTTTTAGATCATGGAAGTTTCAAGAAAAATTGAAAAAGATGTCTGAAGCCTATTGTTATTTGACAAAAAAACGTAACCCGATTATAACACTAAATAGTCTTATAACCCACATGTGATTTTTAGCCTAAATTATTATGGGTATGACAATCAGCTGAAATTGAAATTTTAACAAACATTGATTTCATGGCGAGTGGGAATTGAAATTTGTTACCCATTCCTCCCATTTTTTGTAATTCCCCTTTTTCATATTCTTTCCCGTTAATTTTAACGTTCCCTAAAAATTTCATTCCATTTTTTTTTCATTTCCACCATTTTCCTCATTTGCCCATGCGTTGAAAGACGTTAGTTAGTGCACAAAAGCTATAAAGAAATTTCATTTAAAATATATATACGCATGCATGTGGTCGACACATACACATTCAAAGGCACATTGCAATTATTAGAAATTCACGTAGTATGAACTGAACATTCATAAACATGTATAAAATTGTTATAATTGTAAATTATTATGTGGTCTTAATACATTTTAGAGCTCTTGGATTTTTATTTAGTTTGGTACTAAAAACACGTTTTTAATATATAATAATTTTTTAAATTTGTTTTTATCGTTCAAAAATTTGCAAAATGGGGAATAAAGGGATTGGGAAGGAAAACACGGGAATGAGTTGAAGAAATGGGAAGTGGAAATTTTCGGAAACGTTGTCATAAATGGGAACTCGGAAGGGAATCGGGAATGACAAACAAAATGGGAGGGAATTGGGAACAAATTTCAATTCCCGCTCACCTCTAGCTCACACACACGTTCACACGGGCTAACTCACAGACATACCACATACATATAACGTAATTAATACACATAGATGCGCAGGCATGCAAGATATTTGCATAAATGTACATGCAAATAAATACAGATATACGCCGGAATACATGCATACGTACACTACTTACATGTATGTATATGCAAATGTTGGGTGCTCCGGATTCTTCTTCCATTGTAACGCCTACAATGTTCGTCTGCTCAAAAGAATCAATATCACTCACTCTCACACACTCTCTCTCACTCTCTCTATCTGTCTCTTTCTGTCCCTTTCCTTTTCTTTCACTTTCTCTAAAAGGCGTGGATGCGTTTTCATTCATAAAATGATTGTTATTAATCTGCCTGTCATATTATTATATTCCCGATTTTAATTTAACGCCGGATTTTCTAAATGAATTGTTTGAATTAATTGTTAACCGTTAATAATTTCTTAAAGAACCTTTGTTCCCAATTAGCTAGACCAATGTTCCAAGTATTCAGTCTGTTGAAATTGAGAATAAAATTTGATTTTTATGATGATAATTTGAATTACATCAATATCGATACATATTAAAAAAATAAAAAGTAACGAATAAAGTAACGGAGTAACAAATTAACGTTGTCATATTAAGTTCATCCAATGTTAACTCAACAATGTAACATCAGCCAGTCAGAAGGCACTTATTTTCAATGTACCCAGCTAAGTTTAGTTATGAAAATACGTTAAGATTAAATGAAAGAAAGAGCGTTGTTTGAACTCATGATGGAGGACACATAATATAGTATGGAAAAGGAATTTGTATGAAATTAAAAGTGGAATTTGAAAAAAAATTCCATTATTTCGTATGATGATGATGATTTAACCATCTTCATTATGACACATTCCAAACATTATTATTGAATAGATTCCAACTTTAGACGCTATGTTCATTAAAAAATTACACCCCTTATTGGCTACGATTTAATACTGGATTTTGAAAACGAATTAATATGTTGCAGGACGAATTAAGTGAGAAAAATTTTTAATAAACAAGAATTCAACCTTAGCAATAAGCATTCATCAACTAAACATGATTTGATCAATATAAACTCATATTTCTAAAATATAACTGAATATTAATGCAGGTCAAAAAGTATGAATTATTATTAAAAGCAATATAACGTGATAAAATATTTATGTTCGATTTATATATGAACTAATAGCTAAAACGAACCAACAATTAAAGGAAAAGTAGTGAGGAAGGATACCACAGAACTTGATTCGTTTGGGAAATATAAGGAATAAAGGATAAGCCAAAAAAGAGTCTGTTTTGAATGTCAATAACTTATTTCAAATATCAACGCATACAAACGTGCAAGACTATCGAATCAAACAAATTTAAATTTAATCATTTTTAAAAATATAAACACTAGTTCAACCAATTGCATCTTTTTTTTGATATTTTACGCCACAAATAATCAAACTGTTTTGAATGTCAATAACTTATTTCAAATATCAACGCATACAAACGTGCAAGACATTCCAAGAAACGCAAGATGTTTTTTCTCTCCAAAATTTCAACCGCAGGAAAAGAACCATGCAAGTAAAAGTTAAGGAAAGTAGCGTGACAATTGACAGTGATGTCAATTTTGTATAGTAAGTTTTGCTTCGTGTAAGTTTTGTTCGCTTTCAAATTGAAAAATATTTTTCAAAAACGGAATATCATTTATTTTAAACTTGTATTTTATCCTTCTACCTACACCGCAAAATCTTTAGGTATAACACAACCACGGCACGCCATTCTTTATATTGTTATAATATTCTCGCTGTCGTAACCGATTTACGATGCGACGGGTTCAAATCTTCGATTGAATAAAATATTCCAAGCAGTTATTAAACTTTATTTACAGAAGAAATCAACTATTATTAGTTATTAAACTTTATTTACAGAAAAAATCAACTAATCGTTTATTTCCAGTAAATTCGCACTAACGCAACAATTAACTTTTAAATCTTTCAAAATCTATCGTTATGACAACGTCAACAAACAAATCAAATATCGCTTTAAATAATTCACCGAATCGCTATTCACAAAATCACGAATTTCACTAATCACGAATATCACTAATCACGATTATCACTCATCACGAATATCACTAATCACGAATATCACTAATCACGAATATCACTAATCACGAATCTTCTTGCGACGTGCGCTTATATACTCTTCGCAAGCGTCGTTTCTAGATTCTTCCAGATGGTCCGATTCTAGCATACTCTAGAATGCTCCAGTCACTAGAACATTCCAGAATACGCTAGAATCCAGTGCGTTCGGTATCACGGTTATAACAATATCATGATCAGCTCTTATTCATCTGTGGACTGATCATTTCATAATATGGACATGCTTGTTGGAACAGTTTCTAGGTCTATCAGATACTGATTTTTTAAATATTAATAAAAAAAACTGCAATGAACAAAAGAAAAATAAGTACTAAACGGCAACCAATAAATAAAAATATATATATATATGGCTGCTGTATTAAAAGTATATGGTTATATCACGGATATATATATCCATTGGTTATATCTCTGGATATATACCCATGAGTTATAACCATAGATGGATATATATCCATGGGTTATAACCATATATCTATTTTATATATAATTATCTATAATTTATTCTAATTATATGGTTATACCATTGTTAAACCATAATTATAAGAAGTGTAATTTTTAACCATTATTTTATTCTATATATATGATATTATTATTATTATTAACGGGGTTTAAAGTGGTTCAGAAGACTATGGTCTGTGTAAGAACCACTACTAATTAGATCTCCTAATATCCTATCTGTCCGAGTTTGGCTTTGAAGCTGTTGAGTGAATTCGCAGAGACTGCATCATCGCTTAGCTCGTTCCAGACGTTGACCACTCTACTGCTGAAGAATCTGCTCTTTATTTTTCCATTCGAGTTTTTGAAAATCTTAAATCTGTGTCCTCGTAGTTTATCACTGTTTACTAGCTTGAAAAATCTCGAGTATGGAGTTGTTTCCCTATTCGTGATCAATTTATATGTTTGGATTAGATCTCCTCTACATCTTCTTTTTTCCAATGATGTCAAGTCGCATTTTTTCAATCTCTCATCGTATTCCATTTTTCCGATTTCTCTAATCATTCTTGTGGCTCTACGCTGTACTTTTTCCAAAACTTCCTTATCTTTCTGCATATATGGGCTCCATGCTTGAACACAGTACTCCAGATGAGGTCTGACCAGGGTTTTATACAGTTTCAGTATAATATGCTTCTCTCTGCTGACCATTGTTCTTCTTATAAATCCCAAGATCGTATTGGCTCTGGCCGCTGCAGCTGCACATTGTCTTGACGGTTTTGTGCTTTGATGAACAATGATTCCTAGATCCTTTTCTTCCTCTGTCGATCGTAGTTCTCTTTCACCAGTTTTATATTCATATCTAGCGTTCTTCCTTCCTAAGTGCATGACTGCACATTTGTCAACGTTGAAAAGCATTTGCCAGTGCTTGGACCATTGGTACAGTCTTGCTTGGTCTTTTTGCAATATTTCTGCATCTTCATCGTTCTTGACTTTCCCACATAATTTGGTATCATCTGCAAACTTTTAAATCTTGGAGACTATTCATTCGTCGATGTCGTTAATGTATATCACAAATAATAGCGGTCCCAATACCGATCCCTGAGGCACGCCACTTGTTACGTCTATCCATCTCGAGTTTATTCCTTTTATCCGCACCTGTTGTCTCCATTATTCTGGTAACGCCGTCCCCATGGGCGTTGGGCATCCTTGTAGGCCTCATTCTTTTTTGTCCTTCTTTACGCTCACAGTAATGCTTTATGAAATTAAAATCTTAAAGCATTGGAGCATTGTTAATTTTTTCTCTGTATATAATGTGTTGTCTTGTTATATATTTTATTATATAAATATATATGTGTGTATGATTATAACTATAAATACAAAATAAAACAATAAATAGATTATAACAGAATTCCCTTTCTAGCTATATGGCAAAGATTATCAAGCTTATTTTTGAACAACCAAATATCGTTATTTGCTTAAAAGTGAATTGGTTTTCCCGGTTAAATGCTCCATTCAGTTGTGATAGTGAGGTGCTAGCTAAAAGTTAGGCATCAATTAAAATTTTAAGACGCGTAATTAAATTTAAATTTAAAAATCAAGATGTCCAAGTTGGAAATCGAAGATTTAGCCGCAACTCTCTTTAGAACTGGTGTCGGCGAATATAAGATTTCAAAGTTTTTAACATTTGCCTACAAAGGCATGAAACTTGATGATGAACAATCAGGTTGTTAATTTTTTAATTAATAATTGTTAATTAAATTAATTTAATTAAAGATTATTAAAATCATATTGCAGTAATTTATGTGATCAGGGTTCTTTCTGTTTTAACGTGTAAAGTAAAGGAATTATTAATAATTTATTAATTTAATTAATAAATTTATTTTATCGATTAAATAATAAATTATTTAATTTTCTATCTTGTTTAAATTTTAAAATAAGATTAAGAAGAATGATAAATGGTTCCTAATTCAAGTTATAATTCCTAATTGATAATAATAAATAAATCTTATCTCAAGATTAAGATTTAATAATTAAATCTTAATATTAAATTTGAATTAATATTTTTGGTAGGCATATCCACTGCCCCTACCATTTATTCATTATTCTGGTAACGCCATCCTCATGGGCGTTGGGCATCCTTGTAGGCCTCATTCTTTTTTGTCCTTCTTTACGCTCACAGTAATGCTTTATGAAATTAAAATCTTAAAGCATTGGAACATTGTTAATTTTTTCTCTGTATGTAATGTGTTTATCATTGTTAAGCTTCAGTAGAAATTTTTAGAGTAATTTTCAACATCAATCAATCTTCGTTTTGCGTCCAGAGACCCGGTTCCCCGAGGTAGGAAATTTACAGATTCAGAAAGCAATTCAAATTCACATTAGATAAGATTAGTGCTATTAGAAAATAGTTATTTGCTAGCAGCTCAAATCTAGTTGCTAATTCTCAGATATTTTAGTTCCACTTGCTAGCATTTAAGATAAAAATGACAAAATCATTGATCTGCCTCCGTACATGTTTCTCTCTACAACTGCAACCATTTCATTTTTGGGGCTACATCTTTTAATCTATTATTTATTGACTGAGCAGGCTGGTAACACTGATTGAGTAAGATTTTCCAACCTAGGCTATGGCTAAATAACTATTATAACCAAAACTTTAACTGCCATTGTTGGCATGTAGACTTGCATTTATTTTTCTATACTTTTTAATAAATAATAATTTGTTTAAATTTTGTTTGCTTTCAGCCAAAGAAATTGTTGATGCCATTGCAAAGAATGAAGATTTGGAAGCGTTGGAGTTGAAAGGCAACACTCTGGGAGTTGAGGCATCCAAAAGTATTGGCAAGGCTCTCGAGAGAAAGACCAGCATAAAAGTTAGTTGTGGTGGATGGTTGGCATTTTTATGAAATTTTCATCACTTTTTGTTTGGTTGTTCATTGCTCTGAACGTGCAAAGATGTCAGGCAGAGATGGTGCTACTGTTACTACACTGCAATGCTTCATGCTTAAGACAATGAACTTTTGAAGTTTTGTTTGAGAAAATTATAAATAATTTAAAAAAACTTGCTGATAATTTGTAATATTATTAAATAATGAAAATATTAACATTGAAATCTTACTAAATAGATACTCAAGTTCCAAAGTTTTAGGGATTGAAATATAAAAATTTGATATATACACAACTACAAACACATTATTTATTTTTGTTTATTGGTTTACCTGGCACATTAAACATAATCACTGGCACATTCAAAATGATTCAATTACATATCCACCAATATATTCACCTGACTACATTGAATATTTAATAACACATTCAACATGGTATGTTGATTCATTCATCAACACACCATTCAAAATACGATTCATCAACAGAGAGCTCTATGGAGTGATTTGTTTACTGGCAGACTCAAATCAGAAATCCCCTCTGCCTTGGTAAGCAGAAATTAGCTTTTAGTCTTTTATGCCTTTAGCAAAGTTGTTTTCTATTTTTTTAGATTTTTGGAGTATTTTTTAAGCCTTGGAACAAAAAATTTTACTTTTGACAAGATGTTAATTCAGCTTTTTCCTAGATTGTAAAATATATTTAATTATTTGTAAGATTTGTTAAAGTTAAAGTTTAATTATTTGGAAATAATTCTTTCACCATTATCTACAGAAAAATTTGTGTTCTGGGATGATGATAGCAGGAGCAAGATTGGTGGAGTTAGATCTGAGTGACAATGCATTTGGTCCTAATGGAATGTTGGGTTTGACAGATTTCTTAAAATCCGAAAGTTGTTACAGTCTAAAGGAATTGAGATTGAACAACAATGGACTTGGGATACAGGGAGGAAAGGTTTGTATGGTTTGATGCGTTCCTTCATGTTTGATTTGTATTTGGTTCAGTCTGGCTCAAATTGCTGTTAGGATGCTTCTGGTACCTGTTTGCCTCACTCAAATAAAATCAAATGAATAAAATATGACTAAAACAAAAATGACTAGCATTACCTACCTGACTGAATCAAGATTGTTTCTTAAATATAATTTTCATTGAAACTGCACACCAGATGCTAGCAGAAAGTTTACAGGCATGTTATGAGTCCAGTGTGAAAGCGGGCCAGCCACTGTCACTCGAAATTTTTGTTTCAGGGAGGGGTCGACTTGAAAATGAAGGAGCCACTGCCCTGGCAGGTGCATTCAAGGTTAAAACCCTTTCATTTCCATCTAGACCGCACGATATCACCTAGGCTCATTTTTTTGGCTCATCTAATAATTTTTTAATATCTTTTTGAAAGCTTAAAATTAACTTAAAATTATTTGATAATAATTAGTACATTTCAACATACTAAAAAACTATTTTCTACATTTGTTGTTTATCCTATTAAATTATGGATTTACAGATCTTTTGTTTGTTGATTTACGAACAGATAAATTTAGTATAGTTGATTGATTGATTGATTGGAAAATTTGTTAATTTTGTTTTTTCTTCCACAGTCAATGAAATCATTAGTTGAAGTGCACATGCCACAAAATGGTATCAACCACCAGGGGGTGACAGCATTGGCTGAAGCTTTTTCTTGTAATCCTGATTTGAAAATATTGAATCTTAGTGATAATACATTCACAGAACGGGGATCAGTTTCTATTGCAAAAGTTTGTTTTTGTAACGGAATATTTTAAAAGAATTATTTAAAAAATGAAAATATTCAGTCATGTATTTCAATAGTGGTGCATTGGGCACAGGTTCAAGTTAATTACTGTGCCAATGCACTCTCGAACACTCCATATTTTTGTTTTAGCACATTCTCATTTGAAACAGCACTATTTCTTCAAACAACAACTTGCCCACAACAGGCCCTGGAGAAGTTAAAGAACCTGGAAGAAATCAATTTTGAAGATTGCCTGGTTCGAACTGAAGGGGTCATTGCAATCTGCAATGCACTCAAATGCAGCAATGATAACCTAAAAGTAAACTTCGTTTTTAATTTGTTTGTTTGTTTGTTGTAGATGTTTGTGTATGTTAGTTTATCATGTTTCCTTTTATGATTGTTTGTTAGAGGATTCTTTCAGTGAAAATTATGCTGGGTGGATCATGCAGCAGTTTAAATACATTTGAAATGCATAATACATAAGTAAAAAATTTACATTCAAAATTGTTGGCGAGAAATAGTTTTAATAAATTTGATAGCCATTTATAGAGATTAATCCATCTTATCAGAACTATTAACATGTTAGCATGAGCTGTGCGTGCACTTGTATGCTAATCATGTTTCACCTTATTTTTGTTAATTTTCTTAAGATTCTTTCAACGTGTTATCTTAACATGTGATGCTTCATTTGGCACGTGTTCTTATGCACTGTTTGTGTGTAGTTGATTTTCTGACCATATGACCTCTTGTTAGCCTAGCATTTATAACTATTTGTTGGAAGGTTGTATTTTAGTAGGTCTTTCGATGACAGCAAGCATTTCATGTTTCAGTGACCTCGACACAGATTGAAGCACAATATATTCTTTGGCTTCTTTTCTTTAAAGACATTCTGATTACTTGTGATAGCGCAATCATTAATTTGTGCAGGTAATATTGAAATTGTACTATTTCAGGATCAAATTTATACAATTTGAGTTAAAATCAAGCTGCAACTATGATTGTAGCAAGTTCAATTTAGATATTTTAGTATCAAAATCAACCTGCAACTCAGTTCAGAATCACTGATGATGATGTGCAGTCTCAATTTGTTATAACTTTTTTGCTCGTGATGAATTCATCCATAACACTTATTTACATGACGCAATGTCTCTTTGTTACTCAAGGTCCTCATATTATCTGGAAATGAATTGACGATGGAAGGTGCAGAAGCAGTTGTAGAGGCTATCAAGAAGAAGAAAAATTTACGAGAACTACAACTAAATTGTTCGTTTGCTTTTTCTCTTTTTTTCCATTTGCTACTATTTTTGACTTAATTTTCATTTTTTACAGTTTGTTTTACTTCTTAATCCAGGCATCCACATTAAGCATTTAGCTTAGATTAATAAAGTTACGACGTTTTTTAAAATTTTATAAGGCTGAGATTATTGTGTCTGTTGGTTGAAAATTTTTTTAGGCTCATATTGGTCCGTATTCATAGAATAATTAACATTCATAGAATAAACAGAAATGAATTCACATAGGTGTTTGAGTAATTGGCAAATTATATACTTCATTATTCCATCTCTTTTCTTTCCCTGTTTTTTTCTGTTTCTTAATTGTGATAATAGAAAGACAGTTGCTGCCATACACTGAATGATTTGACAATATGCATGTGACCTGACACACCGATCGATTGGTTATTATTAAAAGTTAATATTACAGTTAATTGTTTTTTCCATTGCGATCAATCAGGTAACCAGTTTGGCGAGAAAGGCATAAAAGTGTTGAAGAAATGTTTGAAGCAGTGTGATAAGTTGTCCACTCTTGGCTCTCTCAGGTAATTAACATCTGTATCAGCCAGCGAATGAAATGCGTTGGGTTTGTTGTTGTTGGATGTTGTGATAGTGATACAAACATTGTTCTGATTATGGCAGATGCCGCAGACAAAGTAGAAGAAGAAGCTGAGATGAGAGTTGTCAAGAAATTGAGATAATGTTTCTGTTCTTTTTGAATGTGAAATATCAAAAGAGTTATTTAATGTTGGTGAACTTATGTTAACCTGCTTAGTTGAGTTTCTGAAAAACGTGTCATTTACGGCAGATATTGTTTTTGTACAATCAAGATATTTGAAGGAAATTTAGAGGAATAGGAATGAAAAGGCACAAAAACTGAAAAATGTTTTTTTTTGTTATTCAAATTGAAATTCTGCTTCTGCTGTTGCTTGACTTAGTGATGGCTGACTCAGTGATTGCTGACAGACAGGCGCATTCACATTTAATCAATTGCCAACTTTCCGTTTTTTATGTTTTATTAAACAAACTAGGAAGTAACCTAATTAGTTTTTTGTTAATTCATGAAAAATGATCTGAAAACAAATCTTGCATCTCAAAAATAAAAGTGATGATGAAGATCCTGATGATGATGATGAAGAAGAAGAAGACAACGATGATGATGATGATGATGATGACGGTGATAACAGCTGTGATACTGAGCTTGATAGTTCCAATCTTAACGTTAAAGCTGATGATGTTGAAGATGATAACCAAAAGAAAGACCAAAAAGATGTAAAGGTATGTTGCTTTTTGAATCCTTTCAATGCAGTTGCAACTTGTCCATTCAAAAAAACTTATAAAAAAAATTCATTAAATATTTAAGAGTTGTTGTGATTCTTTTGTTAAATTTTAATTTAACGTCAATTTTATTCAATTCTTTAAATCTTAATAACTTAACATTTTTCAGTCTGACATAGAAAGTTTTTTGGAAAACCCAACAGCCTCACAGCTCAAAAGTATCCACGATAATAACAGGCATTCCATCACAAACTATTTAGAAGTAATATTAAAACTTTCCTTGTAGTTATCTCAAACATTTTTTGAAATTTTCTTAAAACTTACTTTAGTTTGACTTTAGTTTTTAATTCGCGTTTATTATGGAAAGTTTTGCAGTTTTGTGATATTTTTCCATTACTTGGTTTGAGGCAGTTTTTTGTTATGTTTGTTACATAACATATCATAACATGAACGTTTGCTGTGAACGTTGACCAAGGTGTAAGTTCAAAGATGTTGGAAGATGATATTAATAAAAAAAATTGTTTAACTGGCTAAGTAAATACTATAATTGTCTTCAATTCAATGGATTCTCATTTATTTATTGGATTATCATGTGGATGCTTTTTGAATCTTTCAATTGAAACTTAGATATGATTGTCGAGTGTTGACGCATTATTTTAAATTATTAAAAAAATAAATAATAAATAAATAGTAATAATTTAATAGTCAAGGAATTAAAAAATTTTAACCTTTTAAAAACAATTCCTCTTATCTAAGTAAAGCTAGCTGAAACCATTATTATAAAATTAACGGCATGATGGTGTAATGATTTAAGACACCTAACCTTGTTCAAATGCAAACAGATTCACATCCACTCTATGTGTGTTTGTTTGAGTGTGGTGTGTGTGTGTGTGTGTGTGTGTGCGTCGTCGATACCTCTGAATAGTATCATGGAAAAGAAAATTGTTCAAAAGTTTGTTGAAACCTAATCATGCATTACCATAACTTTGTCATGTGTAATTGTAATTAAATGAATTTTTTCAGGATCTAATTGATAATATTGACGATGCTTCTATTGCCATTATGAAGGTTTGTGCTTATTTCCCCACTATTTTAGCTGCTTCTATCATCTGATAATTGCAACTCGTTACGTAAAACGATTTGATGATGATTTTTTAGATGGCCCAGGTTTGTGTGTCAGATAGCAGTAGCAGCATCAACTCCATTGTTTATGGCTATGCGGGTTAGTCCGTTCATTCTTCTCCATTCCAGTGATCATGTGTAGATGGGCATTTCTTCTGTACTGATAAAAATAATTTTGTTTTGGCAGATGCATTCTACAAGAAAGCGTTTGATGAAGTTAGTTTCGCCTGGGTGGCCAACAGCATTTTGCTGTCACTGGGTCTCATAAAGGTCCTCTCTCAATTATTTTTACTCTAATTTTGTCATCTGGAGATAATTGTAAAATTTATTCTTCGCAAATTAATTTCAGTGTATAGTATTTGAGATTGCATGTGTTGGGTTTTGTAAGCTAATATATATTTTGGGTTCATCTTGCTCTGTGGGACTAGCTCCGCTAATTTATTTTACGGACTGCTACAATATTTTAAATCGAACATTACGTGCTTCGGTGGTTGTATAGTTCTGCGACAGTTGGTAAGCCAGTAAAAAGGCTGATCAGAGATTGCACGCACCATGCCAATTTGGAAAGTTTCTGTGAATAAATAAAATATAATGGCGCTAATGCTTCTAGGTTAACAAAGTCAAGTGATCAAGTGCGTCATTTCTATTCTTATATACATTCCATGTGATAGTCTTATTTGTTAATTACGGTAATAATAATAATTGATAATAATATTCATGACAATAAATTCAGGGAGAAAGGAAAAACATCACATTAGTTAAAGATATAAAAGGACCCTGCATCTTGCTTGCACACATCATTGTACAAAAGTACTTCCCTCCAGATGCAAAGAATGTTTTATCTTTCTTTTTTGAAAGGTTAATCGTTATGAGTTTATTTGAATTATTTTCTTTAAACCTTTAAACATTTTCCTTTAGACTCAGATATTTATTCATTTATTTTTCTTTGGGGCTTATGGAAAAATATAGTGGGGCTGCTCAAATATTTTTAAAAACTTCTTTCGTCCACTATTCAATAATTCCATATTCAAACCAGCTGTTTTATACCAATTTGTCAAATGTTACTGTTGTGGGTAGAATGCAAATATTTAAAATTTAAATTTATATAGTTTTTCATAAATTTAACCAAAATTCAAAAGAATTCATTTTATACATTGTAGGATGCTCTGAAAATGCTTTGCATGAACCGTATTAGCACTGAAAAGCAATTTTGTTCCATTATATGTGCATATTGAGATATATATATATAGATATATATATATATATATACATAGATATATATATAATTATTAATAAAAATCACAGCACGCTCCACGTTAGTTAGCCTCCTGTTTAATTTTTCGATTTTTCTAACGGTAGATCGTAAATCATTATTGTCAAGTTTCTTGAGTTCAAAACCAAAACTTTTATTTATTTTGAGCATGAAAGAACAAAAAAGATTTTTTCGGTATTTCTATACCATTTTCGGTAACAACAATAATGCAACTAACGATAACAAAAATACCATAGTAATATATTATAAGAACCACTTGTAAACTGCTTTCAAACAGGATAAAAAAACATAAAAAGAATCATAAAAAATAACGTTCAAGCAACAAACGAAAACGATAGTATTAAACCTACGAATATACTAATCCAACCAAGAATTTCAACTGCACAAGTAAGCCAGAATCGATAATGGATCATAGCCATCTATACAGGGGTGGGGAAACTACGGCCTGCAGGCCGTGAAGCTATTTTTTATGCGGCCCGCAAGGCCTTGTTCGCCAAAAAAAGTTCGTCAGCCAGACATTATGAGCAATTAAAGGAATCACAAACCTTAAAAAGTTTCTCCCTCGGGTCGAATAAATTTGCTATTTAAGTGCATATGCAGTCCATCAAAGGTAAAATAGTCCTCATAGCTAAGTTTGCCCACTCCTGATCTAATATTCAAATAATGAGTGTGGGCACCATAATTCTGAATATAATGATATTACGACGAACAAGCTATCGAGAAGACTCACGATGCATACACAAACTGGCGCTATAAAAAATCACATGAAAGAGAAACACAAAGCTAAAATTACTAGGCAAATGTCGGACAACCGTTGAAATCTTGCATTACAATAACAACCATTATAATTGACGACTGGTTAATTTCATAAGACAAAAACATAATAAATATTCAACAACGGGCAGTTGGAATCCTTCCCACTAATGAATTTAGAAACAGGAATCATCGTTAATGATGACAGGTTAAAGTGTCATACTGCACAAAGTTGAAAATTGTAATAACTAATTAAGTGACCGTTAGTATTCACATTAAACAAAAAACTAACTTTGTGGAGACACAGTATATATATATATATATATATATATATATATATATATATACACTTTAGCGTTTGGCCACATACACAACGTATCAATTCGAACACCGAAGATGGTATAGAAATACCGAAAAAAGCTTTTTTGTTCTATCATGCTTGAAATAAAAATTTTGGTTTTGAACACAAGAAACTTTGCAATGATTTACGATCTACCGTTAGAAAAATTTAACAGGAAGCTAACTAACGTGAAACATGCTGTGATTTTCATCAATAATTGAATTTCTTGCATGTATATATAAATAAAATACTTGCATTTTAATGGTCTATTTACATTCACAGCTGCTAATTATTAATTTGATTAACTTAACAGGAACACTAACTTGGATGATTTTGCGTATCTCAAAGAGGTTATCACACAGGGCTCTGTGGCCCCAAAGTAGTTGGATGGCGATTTTCGTCAGTTAAAAAAATTACCTCTGCCATTTTATCTTTCTTAATAGGACATTATTTTTTTTTATAAAAACATTAGCGACTTTATTTTAAATTCTTTGAAAGAACGAATGAGTGAATGAACCCTTACCGAGGCATTAATTATGATTGTGCTTAAACAAATACCAAGTGTTCTGAATTTGTTGACATTTATAAAATCTTGATACAAAAAATTATGTTCACAACAATCAAATAAATATTTAGTTCTTAACAACAAAATGCAACATAGAGTCAATGTTGAATGAAATAACATTTATAATAATCAAAATTTCATTGAATTTTATCTTGGAGCAACGCTAACGCGTTGTTGAAAACATTTTTACAATAAAAAAATGAACAGTCATAATCCTAATATCATAAAATAATTTTTTAATTAAATTAACTATAAATAATAAAAATAATAAATTTTTGAATAAAGAACGAATTAGCAACAATTTAAAAAAACTAGTCAAATTAAAAATTTTATGTACAACTGAAGAACTTGGAACAAATGTTATTAACGGCGAAGTTTGGAATTAACTTTCCTGGAGAACTTTTAATTTAGAGAATTCGATGGTGAATTCTAGAAAAATTTATGAAGTACGGTTGAAGATTCATAGTCCATAGTTGACAGTGTTCAATAAATAATTTAATTGTAATCATAATAAAATATTAACAAGCACTTTATATACATCAAAAATAGCAAGGAATAGACAAATTGAATTTATTCAAACAGCAAAATTGACGCAGTCTTTTTTTAGTTCGATAAATGTAGTTGTGGAACAAATCATCAAAATTTGTGCATGCCCTATGCTTATAGATTTAACTTAAGATGAATCGCAATATGACCTGCCGATTGATCAACTGCATTGCTTGTATTAATCAAATCCTTAACCTTATTCACCAAACTGCCCAATAACGTTACGCGTTCATGCCAATAATGTAACTAACCCAAACCTACCAAATTAAAGTTCATTTATTATGATAAACAAGTTTTGTTGGTATTGGTGAGGTCTTTGTTAATTCAACTGAGTCAATAAAATTTGTCACACATTTAAGTTTTTGTCGTTTGGTGGTTAACAGCATTCCAATGTTCGAACAGAGTATTCTTATTCACGTGATATATGTTCATGCTAAGTGATGATCGTGGAAAATAAGTAAAGGACAACAAAGACTCCATTGTTAATTATGAAAATAGCGTGATTCACATAAACAATGTGTGATTTATATATAAACAATCTATGAACCGAAAACCGGATAAAGGTTAAATAATGGTTTGAATATTTACACAATGACCTTAACAAATTGATGAATAAAAGAAAAACGTATGTCAACTTAAACAAGAATATATCCGTAGATAAAAGGAACTAGCTAAGCTTTAACAAGATAAAAACAATGGTAGACATCACTTATATATATATTAATGAATTATCATGTCTGCCAACAATAGCACATGCACCCTACATATATATATATATGTATGTATATATATATATATTATATATATATATAAGAAACAAAGAAAAACTTATTTAAATAAACAATTAACAAAATCAAACTTGTCTTTTATCAGAAAGGCCAAATAAATATTTCAAGTCACATCTGTATACATATTTCATTAGAGTTCGTACAGTAAATGTGAACATATAGATTCTTACACATATATATTACTTATTATACAATCTGTGATGTGGTCTATCTCCAATTTTATGATCTTTCAATAAGCATTGCATAACATTCAATATATTAACTCCAGTATTCTTCAGTAACCAGTCCTAACTTGATAAAACTAAAATGCTAAAATGTCTTTTTTAGTCAATGGTGAATGGATATTTGAGTCATTTAAAATGAAAATGAAACGTCGAGTCAATATGAGGGAGACTTGATGAATCAAATCATCTTTTGGAAGACCTCGTAGATCTGGATGATGCAGTTGTCGCTGTGCTGGTAGTCGTACTCGTGGTTGTCCCTGCAGTTCTCAACTTTTTAGTCTTATCAGCCTGTTTTGCCACTTCTTGTTTGGCAGCACTAGATTTTGTGACACCTTTTGTGGCGGCTGGTAACTTGACTTTACCAGTAGAGGCAACCGTTGCCTTTGATGATTTTGCAGTGGTCTTCTACAACAGACAAACAAACGAACAGCTAATTACTGATCTATTACACGGATGAACATTAAAAAACTAAAAAAATTTAAATAAGCTTTGTAACAGCAATGAACTTAAACACGTAACCAAAGGACAAAAGTTCACGTAAAAATGGTTTACAAGAAAAATATCAGAAAAAAGAGGAACATAAAAATCATAAAATGGCAGACATAAAGACTTAATAAAGGTCAAGTAATATAAGTAAGTCATAATGACAAATTTTGAATAAGAAAGTATAAAAAAGTAACAATTGAAGATAAAGGTTGGGTGTCAATATAAATGTCAAGATAAAAATGACAAAAAATTTCAATGGGAATCGGATAAATTGGTACTACCAATGATTTGAAGTTTTGAATAAAAAAAAAAAAATTCAGACGAAGCAAATATATATCCAATGAATTATTTAACAAAGATAAGTTGAAATGAGAAACAGAAGTACAAATGAAAATTTAGAAGTGGTAAGACAAATTTATTTCTGTTAAAAACCCTAAAAACAAACTTTGTTATCTGTACTTTTACTGGTTGTGTTTTCCTTGAGAACTGGTCGTGTCTTGGATGATGTACTTGTGAGTTTTGAAGCAGCTGACTTTCCAGATGAAACATTACTTTTTGCCTGCTCTATTTTTTCAAACCGTTTTTCTGCTGCTTCAATTTTTCTTTGTTCTCGTGACTTTGTGCCAAAAATATTTTAATTGAAAATTTATGCATATATATATTTATATGCATACGATAAAGTAATTTAATCGTCATCAAGCATCTCAAAAGAGCTAAATAATTATGATAGACTACCTTCTTATCCTCAGATTCTTTTTCACCTAATTTCAGTGATGTTTGTATTTCAGCTAGCAATTTAGAATTTTTCTTTTTGCTTTTAGATTTACCGTTGCTGTTGTCATCTGTGTCATTATCATTTGAATCTTGAGGTTTCTCATCAGTGGTGCTACCATCATTTGACTTTTTCTTCTCCTTTTCTTTGGTATCCTACAAAAAATTGCACAACTCAATTATATCTAATATTGTATTTTGTAAGAAGCTAAAATTCCCACATCATAATTTTAAGACAAATTTTTAATACATGTAACTAATGTTCATTTCATTCGACTGAAATAACCAATTTTTCTAAATTATCCATCTGTTTAGACGAATATGCTGTACCAATTGCATAATGGTAATCTTAATATTTCATCCATGCTCTTCAATTAAATCAATATCTCTTCTGCTAACATTGTTTTGCACATCATCACTAATTTTGTGATAGCTTTACATGTAGATATTTTTTATTACAAAACAAATAAGAATTTATTTGTTTAGCTTTCAAACAAACACTTTCAAAAGCATTTCACAGTAATTTAAAAAAAAGTTTTTAGTTATTGCTCATCATTACATTACATATCGTTCTTTCTATTTTTATAATTGAGTGTAATTTAAAAGCATTTTTGTTTTCTCAAACCTTCTCAAGTTTTCATTGTCAAAGCCCAAGTTTGTAACCATACAACATGCAACTTCTTACACATGCTTTATATATCTTACCATTCAGACCGACCCAATGGTATACACCTAGAACACACCACTGAAGTCATTTCTCTGACTATTTCCATCCTAGTTTTATTCAATTCTCGACTGCTCTATCCGATCTAATTGGTGTGGTAATGGTGGCTGCTTCTTAAAATTAACAGAATCTTGATTAAATAATGATTTGAGCAGCAAAACGACAGCAAGCAAGCACTCTGCATGAAAAGAATATCAATATTATTAAATAATTAATTATATAACTCACTTATATTACTGTGTATGAGTGCTTAAATATACATTATTTTTTCAAATTTGCAATCAATATTTTAGCTTACACTTTTATCATCCTTCTTGTTATCCTGCTTTGATGGTGGTGAGTTCTGTTTGCGGCCAAAATGACTAGGTTTCTTCATTGGTTTTTCAGCAGCTTGTTTCTCTGTTTCATTGTCCCCAGCTTCAACTTCAACACCAGTTGCATCAGATTTACCAGAAACATCTGTTTTCTGAGGAGATGTCTCAAGAGTGGATGCTGTCTTTTGTGGCTGGGCATCACCACTGCTTTCTGCTTTTATATTCTTTTAAGAATAAAAACAAAAAAATTAATCAATTAATTGATATATGTATTTCTTAAAGTTAATTTATAAATAAGATAATACGAAAGTAAGTGCACTAATGAACACACAAAATATATCACAGCTTTAATAAAAAGAAGCAGAGGTAGTGTAAAAAATTTCTAGCCTTTGCTGAATCTGATTTGCCATGCAATGAAGATATGTTGTTTGAGTTTTCAGTATGTAGGCCTGCACTGTTTGATGTATTTGATGCAGTGCTACTTGGAAACAAGTGTTCTGAAGTTTGTCTGTTACGAGGAGGTTTGACAACCCTTCCTGATGACGTCTTAAGTTCCTCATTCTGCTGAGGTGGGTCAGCCACTGTAGCTGATGTTGAACTCATTACATCAGCATTATCATCTGTCTGCTTCTTCTTTGTTTGTCTGCATTGAAGATAATTAAAATTACCAATCAAACATTGACAATACACAAACTCTTTTGCCGATTAACCGAGTGTCATTCCTTAATATACATGAAACCTAAACACCAAACTTTAGTGGATATGGAAATCAAACATATTTCAAAAAACCAAAATGTTTTTGGATGCATTCAGTGTTCAACAACTATTTTGACTTTAAAACTGACACTAAAAATTAAATCTCTTTTCCCTAATTCTTATTCATGAAGGTCTAAATTGAGCGACTAAATAAGTCTGAACATATATTGCCTACCAGACAATAATTATTATTTATGCCATTTATTGAATTTGAGATATTTATAGTTGGAAGTTCATACAACGAATTATCTGATCATAACCAACGACGTCAATAAATTTTAAAATAAAGCATTCTCAGAGTGAATAAGAAATAACATCAATGGAAGACAAGAAAACATGAAAAAACCTGGCAGTTCTTGTGGACGCAGAAGTTGTTGTGGTAGTTGTTGTGGTTACAGTTGATGTTACTGATCCAGTGTTAAAATCTTTGAAGTACTTGGCAACAAGGCAGTTAGATTTGCCACAGGGACATTTAACTTCCACCATGCTGTTTGACATTAAGTTAGCTTAATTATGTAAGTAAATTATTTGAGTAAATTAAGTAAGCTGAATTTAAACATGAACATTTCAGATAAACTTTCAAGTAATGAACAATCTGATAGTGAGTGAACTGTGCAAACTACTGAAATTTTCAACATTCAAAACATATTTAAAATATATTATATAAACATGCAAGCAGACCTTCTGTGGTAATCAAAGTAGAATGGTATGGTGATCTCTTTACCAAGAGGAATGGTTTTTGTGGCACATATGAAAAACCTCAAGCCATTCTTATCCAATATGTGCACAACCTTCGTTGTTAATACAAATTGTTATTATAAACATAAAAATCAATCCATGGCATTGCAATTAGAGTAGGTTTGATATTTGAACAAATATGAATACACAAGAGTTTTCTATTAAACCTGTCTCCAACTTTTAACCATTAAGAAACTGCCTGGTGAATTAAAGATGTCTAGAATATTGAGGTTGTTAGACCAGTGAAGAAATGTATGAAAAAGATTAGGCAAGGATATGTGGGATAATGAAGATGAAAGACTCAGTGTCCATGATGATGAGATTCTTGGTCAAGCAGAACTAAAACCAAGCATGTGCACCAAATAGATGTAAGAAATTATTACTACTGTTGAGTTAAACTCGAATTATACCAGTAACTATTTTTAGTTGTGCATTCTTGATTTGATAAATTTACACTAACATAAAATTTTTCTGAAATTTAGAAAATCATATTTTCAGCAATTGTTTTAAGAAAAAATTGAATAAAAGACACAAGCTGTAAACCTTCGCATTTGGAGTGCAAGATCGTCTCACATATTTAGCTTCATTGTCAGAATGTGAAGAATCAACACATAATTCAACTCCTGTGATACCCATATAACAGACGGCAAATGGGTATGATCTGAATGAATAGGAATATAACAAATTTTCAATTAAACCTTATAATGCCAAAGAATGGTCTGATAATGAATTATTAAAATTTATTCTTTATTAATTTGAGATGTATAATTTGTTGCAGGCATAGGAACAACAGTTACAACCTCATTATTTTCTGTTTATGTTTTGCTATGCTATGAATGTTTAAAGATAAAACAAATTAGAACAATTAATGTGCAAGATAATATAAGAGAACAAAACAAGTATTAAAGGAGAAAAGGAGCAAGGTACTAACAGATCAGATTGGCAGTTCTTTTCATAGTCCTGTCTGAGCACAGTATTACCAGTGTATTCTGCAACTGCTTGATTCACTTTGATGTTGTCTATTGATTCCAAACCCTGCATCAAAACCATTTATTAAACTGAATCACATTTGTTGATGGTAAGCCAATGGAAGATCGTGTAATATTGGCGTCACGTGGTCAAACTATTTGCGTATGTGTGTGCATATATTAAAACAAAATCATGAAACAACCTTTGAGTTATCTTCATACAATACAACCCTGAAACATCTCTTGGACAATTGTTCTCTGACGATAGCCAAAGTGCTGCTACTGTTGTTAGCTCCCATTGACTTAACCTTAAACAATTGAAATTGTTTTATAAATTTATTATGTTATTTAGAATCTTTGCCAAAAAATAACAATGAAATTGTGCAAAACACAATACAATAACAATTAACAACATGAAAATTATCGATGGTAGTGTATTTTAAAGTATGATGACAAGAAGATTATTCCAATGAGAAACATAACACATAGGCAGCGCCAGTCATTTTTGATCTTGTTTGATATCTGTTATTTTATGTGATATCGTGCATGAACAATTCAACTAAATGTTATGGAATGAATGTATGAAAGTGAAAAATTTAACCTTGACCATGAGTATGCCGAGAACTTCAGGACTGTAAGTGTTCCTACATTCAAGAGCTGATGTTGTCTGTACATTGGTGTGGTAAACAACATCTGCTGGATCCTTCAGGCTGGAAGAGGTAAGTCTCCACATGTCTCCACCAGCTGCATTATCTGAGCCAGAGTTGTTGCTCATATGCTGTTTTTTAGGTCTCTTCTGATCTGCCTTTTATATCATTATCAATAGTAAAATATAAGAAACCATCACAAAAAAAATGATTGACTAAAATATTTCAACCACTTTCTTTCCAAACCATTTACAAGTCAATGTCAAATAATGTATAATCAGGCACAATAAAAAAATTATAAGAAGAATACATTTATAAATAATTAAAAATTTAACTCATTTGCTACAAAAGCAAAAGTTCCCATTTTTAGATTGCATCAATGACAAAACTTAAAATGCTAACTTTATGATTAGGCTTTTCCATTTCAGAAGATGTTCTCTTCCTTTGTTTCTTTACTTGTCCACTGGTCACCTCAGAAGTACTGTTCTTCCTCTTGCTCTGCTCTTTCTTACGTCTCCTCTTCTTTGGTTTCTTCTCTTCTTCTACGCTATCTTCCGCACTTCCAGATGACTCCTCTTCCATAAAAAAAAAAAATTTTGTTGAAGAAAATGTAAACAATTAGGATATATAATCAGAAGGTGAAACAAGTCAACATCCTTCTTCTACATTGCCATGCATCCATTTAAAAATAGACTGATTAATTAACATAATGGAACGTATGGCATGGTATATATCTTTATGTTCTGTATACATTTTATCTTATTTAAATTTATCCATTGCTTACAGACGAACACAAATTATTAGAAAACAGAAATATTTATTGCCTATTTTAAAGGCTCAAAATACATTAAATATGGTCATTGAACATATATATATATATATATATATATATATATATATATATATATATATATATATATACACGTGCATCTGTATATATATAAAAACAAAACAAACATACAGGCACACATGTTTTAACAAACAAGGAATAGAAATTACTTATCTATCATACTTTTACTTTTATCAAATCAAACACTTTAAATTTACATTTAAATTTGTGTGGCACGATGGTGTAATGGTTAAGGTGCCTGGCTTTGCTGACGTAGTAACCGGGTTAAAATGTGAAGTGATCTCCACCTATCCCGTGCATAAGTTTGACACATTGTTCACAGTGCATTTACATACGCTGTGTGTTTGTTCTAATAATAATAATAATAATAATAATAATAATAATAGTAATAGTAATAATAATAATGCACCTCAGTCACTTGCCATGGCGTAAAATGACATTATTACTATTTAATTATAACTAAACATGTGCGAGGCAATGATTAATTTTAACAGCATGGCTATGTATGGAAAAAATGAACGAATTTCATTAAATTCAACTAACCCATTTCAAATTCCTCTTTTTTCTTTGATTGTATACGAACTGCCCGACGTTTGTCAACCTGCCTCGGATAGCATAACTCACACAGGTAACTGTCAGGAATGCGTTTCCTATCCACACCCATGCAGTCAACATGCTGCCATACCCTATTATCAACAAATAATTCAAAAATGAAAAACCAGCATATTAGAGAGTATATTAGTGAGGTTAGTAATGAAATAATACATAGTAGTAGTAGTAATATATACCCGCATCTATCACAGCAGATCATATAGCCGTCATCATGCTGGAAGTCGCATATGCAGCGAGTCACACTACCTTCATATGGATCGACTTCACCATCCCCTCCTCCATTTATGTTATTATTATTGTTGTTGTTATTGTTGCTACTATTAGCATTACCATTATTGTTGTTGTTAACATTTGTATTAATGTTACTGCTGCTGATATTGTTATTGTTAGCTGCTCCTTGTCTACAGAGACTGTTAATAACAGGCATAGTCATCATAGGTGGCCTCTGATTATTCAAACCCAAACCATATTGATTCCTCAAGTTATCCATTCTGACATCAACTATGTCAACATAAGCTGCCAATGGTTCTGCAAGAGGAAGTGTCGGACTATCGACCTGACTATCAGTAGGTACTGTTGGTAGTTCAGCTGCATAGCAATGATCCTAAGAAAAAAAGACCATATTTCCATTACAAAATGAAGAAAATCAATAAAAACTATTATTCACTAAATGACCAAAGCTAAGAAAAAATGTTTAAATTTATCTAAATTTAGGTTTAGTAGTAGATGCCAGTAGTTTCTATAAATATTTTCAATTTGCTACAGTAGTCTGGGTTGTGTAAACACTTAACTTGTGTATTAGATCCAACTCTAAATACACATCAAATAGGTCTAATTTTTATTATAGGCTGTTGATTATCTTTCATCTCTGTTATATAACAAAAAGATTAAATTTAAATCAAAGGTTGCATGTGATACTATTTATTTAAAATTCAAATCAAATGTTAAAAATTAAACTTGCCAGATATGGTGTAACATATTTCACCCCAGGGAAGGAAGGGTTCATGTATAGCTGCTCGATATCAGCTGCATTCTCTACACCTTCATATCTGGTGAACAGTTTATAAAGAAAAGTGAAAGCTTTAAGAATCAATAATATAAAAAGAAAAAACCTCAAACTAACGCGACATCCATATTCGAATTGCAGAAGTTTGGACACCAGTGTGTCACAGATCTCATCAAAGATGCAGATCAATGGAGGGAATAAAATAATATTGACTTCGACGCAGGGTTGGCCGAACTTGCTCAAAGTCCACTGCAAACCGTCGACGGATTTAAAAAAGTAACGTAAATGTGTTGAGGAACTTTATTTACGTAAACAACAAATCAAAAAAGGCGGGGGAGAACCTCTTGACGCTCGAAAACCAAGCACAAAACGATAATTTGGGAAGTGAAATTCGATTGAGATTTTAACTTAAACTTAAGTAAAAACAAGCCTGGAAAATAATTATACAGAAAAACAGTTCAAACGACAACGCAATATCGAGAAAACTTGATCAAATTTTGAATATTTTAAGTTCAAATTTGGCAAACATGGCGGAGACCAATGCAAAACAATGAAACAAAATGATGAATTCATTTATTATTCTGCTGTTAATAATTAAAAATTGCATTACAACCACTGATAACTTCTTTAAACTCCAATCAAATATCAAATTATTGTTTTTAACTTTTTTCGTATTTCATAATTTATAAAATAAAGCAAAAAGTAACATCAATTAATGAATAAATAAATAAATATATATATATAAATATATATACATATATGTATATATATATAGTTTGTCACTACATATATAAATCATGGATATATTATATATATATATATATATATATATATATATATATCCATGATATAAATATTTATTTATTTGTAGAATATATATTCAAATATAATTAAATATTAATATATAATATTAATATATGTTTATATAAGTGATATTTTCCATTAAAAAAAATAGAATCATATCTCGTTCTTAAGTATTATATTTAAATATCTCTTGAATACAAAGATGGACTAAGAGGGAAGATCAGTACGGATTAGGACGTCCTAAAATAATTCCACTGAATTTGACGTTACTAAGATATTTGTCGACAAGAGGAAGAAGGCGATGTGCAAGTTGAAACATTTTATTGCGTGCTGGTTACGCTGGCAAAGGCTGACCAACATATAATCAAATCGAACCATTAAGAAGCAAAAATCTGATAATTTTCTCCTTAACCTTAGCAACCATACTCATAAGATATAGGATAGGAAGTCCACGAATCTTGACTTGAAGACAACCTTTTGAAAAAGGAGGAGAGGTATTTTGATAGCGTTTTGAAGATAATGATTGGCATGGAGGGAGTATTTTGAAAACATTTTGAAGATACTGATTGGCATTGGTCAAGCTATTTTCAATTAAACCCGTATTTCTTGGCACTCCTGAACGACTCTTCAAATGCTCTCTTCCGGTGCATATCCTTTTCTTTCTCCTCCGAAATTCAAATTCTTAGGTGTAATTTTCCACTCGTCTGTGGCTTTAGTTCTTTAGTTATTATAAAAGCTTGCAACCACTACATCTGGGCTATTGAATAAAATATAACAACATATTTAGTCTTGATATTTTCCCTATCTTACGAATATCTACGAAAGTTTGTTTATTAACTCAACTACCCATGCTATTTGAAGATACAGTATAGTATGCCTCAATTAATCAATTTAATAAAAAATATTAATAAAGAATGAGAGAAGAGATAGAAAGGCAGAGAAAGAAAAAGAAAGAGAGAGAGAGAGAGAGAGAGGCAGAGAGTGACGTACTAAGACCACAATCCAACTTAAACGCCACACATCTTTTAAAATATTGCAGAACTTCTTAGAGCAACCAAAGAAAACGTATATAGTATTTAAAAAAAGAAAATGAAAAAAGATAAGTATAATAGCGGCAAAAAAATATCACAACGTAATTTCAGTGACAGTTGGAATATGTCTGAATGGACAGTACAATTAAATTTAATTTATAGAGTTATAAAATATCATGGTAAAGAATAACCACCGCAATCACATTCAAGTTAAAAGAAGTAGCAAGCATCATACCATGCCATATATTTCTCTGTCTTTTTTCACTATGAATAAAATCATTTTAACCTACTTAATTTAAAAATAAAAGAAACAGATAAATATCTTTTATTGATTTTTTCCATTTTTACATTACACATTATTATTAATTAACATAATTCAAATTTTAATACAATTAAAAGTTTACGCCTTATACAATATTTACAATAATTATTTAATTAGTCGGCGAGTTACTGACTGACTGACTGACTGGCTGGCTGGCTGGCTGGCTGGCTGGCTGGCTGGCGGCTGGCTGGCTGGCTGGCTGGCTGGATGGCTGGCTGACTGACTGACTGACTGACTGACTGACTGACTGACTGACTGACTGACTGACTGACTGACTGACTGACTGACTGACTGACTGACTGACTGACTGACTGACTGACTGACTGACTGAAAACAAAAACTAAGAGCATAGATTAAAAAATTAAAGATATGCCTCGTCTATGTTTATACCATGTATGTCATGTAAACATCGTAACTGTTACTTACCGATTAAAAAATGAAAAATAGTTTTGTTAGTAGTTAAAATGTCATCCATCGATTTATTCAAGTAAAAATTTACTATTATTGATTTATTTATTTTTTAATTTTCTTTATTCATTGTTGTTTTTGCATTGGATATTTGTAGTACTACATTGCATAAGTAAGAATTAACAATTAAGATTAATAATTAATTAATTAATAATTATATTGCAATTGCATTAATTACGTAAGAATTAAGATTAATTAATTTACTAATGATTATTAGTTCAGTGGTGTTGATTATACCGAAATTCAGCCCTATATTTCCATACGAAGTCTTATCACTGTAGCCATGGCTTGTTAATTTAGCCACACTTCTTTTTATTTCTATTCAGCTTCAACCAATACAAAGCTTGCTTTGCTCTGCTAATAACTTTTTTCAGTCATGCTTTCTGCCTGACAGTCCTAACTATTTGACTATTTGAAAAGTGTATACATAGACGCTCCCACTGTTCCTCTTGCACCAGCCTCAACAGCGTAGTTGAGAAAACCTGGTATTGTATCCTTTCTTGTTAATTAAACTCTTGCATCAGTTGTTCATACTTTGCAGTTTTTACGTTGTGGCTACTGAGCATGTTACCTTCGTACGACACACTTCGATAACTGAATTCGTATTCTTAGATGCACATGTACACATATTCTCAGAAAAACATTAGTTGAAAAGAAATTTGGAATATGGTTCCTCTCCGTTTGGCTTTTCTAATAGGAGGAGTGTACAACCAGCTGCCAACAAAAGCGTATTTGGTTCGGTGGAATTTGTCAGCACAGTGCAAATGTAAATATAAATGTATGTATGTGTGTATGTATATATGGATGAGTATAACATTAAACTAACTTTCTTTATTCAAATCTGCTGAAGTAATTAGTGAAAGCTGCTTGATTGTCTTTATCAACGTGGATTCCAGAGAGACTCAGCTGTGGTCATTAAACACACATACATACTCACACACATACACATATGCAAACAAACGAAAAGACAAACTTTTTTAATCTGGAATTTTTTGAAAATCAAAAATTAAATGTTGCGGGCAGTTTTTTAAATTACTTGCGGATAAAAAATTCTCATTGCGGACTCTAATAAGTATAAGTATGTTTGTAATCAACCAATGTATTGTATTGTGCAATAATTTATTTATTTATTTTATTTTATGTCTGCAACAGTTTAATGCTTTTTTAATCATTTAAAATTTTTAATCTATTATTTTTTTTACCCTTGGTGGATATGTATTTATTTAGTTTAGAGATTTGCATACAATATGTGTAACATATAATTATAATTTAAAAACGGTTCTTAAGAGGCTCTGAACCTGAAGAATATCAAATTACAGTAGAGTAGAGTAGTAGCTTTGCTGTATATTTTTATTTTGAAAAACTAAACAGTCAAAGCAAAAATGTAACAAAACAGTAGAAATGTTTATATTTATTTACTATGTATTCTTTACCCTTAAAATTTCAAAGTTATTAAGATCTGTAAAAATGTTTTATAGATGAATGTTGCAAATAATTATATCCACTTTTAAACCAGTTTTTATTACAATGATTTAATGTTTGGTTCTTTATTAATTTATTTAATTAATCTAATTAATTAATTACCAATTAGTTACAAATTAGTTTGTTAATGTTGAATACTTTTTTTTTTATTATATTTAATTGATTTTATGCTATTTTAAATATCAAACTTTAATTAACTCTAGTAAAACTAATTTTAACCCTAACAAATAATATTTTCAGACAAGCAGAAAATTTAAAACTAGCATGCAATGGTGAGTCCTGCTGTAAGCCTTTTCATTTTTAATCATTTGCCCATTTATTAATTACCTAACACACATTTTCTTCCCTCCATATAAAAAGATACAACTAAAGGACCAAATGAAGTTTGGAAATCAAGGCAGCTACTCCAGGAAATCTATCAGACTCTCCTAACTACAGATTTAGAATTTGCCTTGGATAAAAAAGTTGAACAAGACTTGTAAGAAAATTTTAGAATCAACAATTTTACTTTTTTAATTAAATTTGTTTCAAATATTAATCTTTTAATTTTTAATTATTTTATTTCGTGTGATTTGACATTTAAGATTGTTTTGTGTAAATAATAATTAAAATTGTGTGTGACTCAATGGTCAATGAATCAGATGGAAGTATACATTCAAGAAGCAGATTTCATCATTGCAATGTCAGGGCAAGGATAACAAGCAAGGGGTTAGAAATATTATTTTTCTATATTAATACATACTACAATCCATTTTTAATGCATATTAATATTAATTATTAATGCATAATAATTATTAATACATAATAGTTATTAATTCATATTAGTATTAATTACAATAATGTCATTAGCGTTTGATTTATTTCAGCAAAAATTTCAAGTTGAAAGCTTACATTTTTCTCACTCATATTTTGTAGCATAATCAGCATAAAATCATTCATTCATTAGAATTTCTTTTTTATAGCATACTAACTTAACCTAACTTTAAATTGTCTGATGTAATGCTGTGATTCACATTATTAAATGCAATTAAATTCCATGTCAACTTATGGCAAATTATTTTCCATTTTTTTGACTGACTTTTCAAACTTCTATTCAACTCTACATGTTTGTAGCCTGCAAAAATTATGAACAGTGTAAACTATCAATGACTTTTTTTATTTTTTTAAATAGAATTGTTTGTTATTTAGATTTTATTCTAGTTAATTTCTGTGTTATCGTCATTGTACAACTCTTGGATTGCTTATAACCACAAGTGTATTTTTATAAAACAAGAACGATGTACATAATTAAAAACTCAACAACCTTCTGAAATAACAAAAGTTTAACAGTCTTATGGCAAATTTTAAAATAAAATAATGATGCAGAATTTAAGGAAGGGTGAAGTACAAGCAGGTTTGAACTTGTTCCTCAAGGCAGCCAGTGGATTTTATTTGCAGGTTCCATGATTATAATTCGTATTTTTATTAGTTCATTCATTCATTCATTCATTCATTCATTCATTCATTCATTCATTCATTCATTCATTCATTCATTCATTCACCCATCCATCCATACATCCATCCATCCATCCATTCATTCATTCATTCATTAGTGAATTGTTTTCGGCACGATTGTTAATTTATCATTTTACATTTTATTGTTCATAGTTTTATTGGTCTTATCTCAATTTGTTATCTCAATTTGTTGCTACCTCTTTGTAAACTTGCAAGAGGATGAAAAAAAATTAGTAATGAAATTTGAAAGTTAGTTCAGGCAGTAAGAGGCCATTACGTAGGGACAATCTCTGCATTGGTCAGAAGTCAGAACAGCTTCATTGCCGTTTCGTTGGCTGAAAAAAATGTTTTCAAACAAGCTTTTATTGATTGCAGACACTGTGGTCTGCTAAGACAACATCGTTTGTGAAAGGAAGCCCTAATTAAATTTTCATTTTATTAGTTGAAGTACTGGATATTTTTGTGAGAAAATTAATCATTAATGAGTCAAGAAATGAAATGTGTACACACACACACACGCGCGCGCGCACACACACACACACACACACTCACACACACTCATCCAACACACACACACACACACACACGCACAAACACACACATTAGTTGTTGCAGGAGTTGACATGTTGGTGGAAGATGGACACTCCATTCAACAAGCAGCCATACTGCATTGGCATCATAAAAGGTACGCAGCATTTTTTTCAACCCATTTTCAAAACTTCTCTGGTCTGTTGTTTATTTCTGAGTGTCTCGTTGGTGTCTTTGTCTTTGTTAACTAGACTTGTTTATAGATCTATGTTTGGTTCATTGTTTATTAAAAATGTCACATCAGTTTACATTTCCTGATTATTACAAATTTGTTTGTGGGAAGCTTGTGTTTGGACTTGTTATATGATCAAGTCTTATTGATTCAATAAATATGAATTACTTTTTTTCCCTACCCCTACCACGAAACTTCATAATGCGATATTTAACTGAACTCTTCATTTTAAAATGTTTTCCATATTTTTCAAACATTAAGCCAGCTTAAAATTGCTATTAATTATATAAATCAATAATATAAAAATTTCTTGCAAATTTTCATGTAAAATAATTTATTAAGCCTTTTTACCTTTTTTCTGTATCATCTCGGTTGTCTAAACATTTATTTACTTATTTCTATTTAGTTTCTGTTCTGCAAAATATTTCAACGATCTTCTCATTTATCCTCTTCTAAGAAATTTGTTTTTCACTATTCCAGCTACTTCTTCCATTTGTTGCCTTTTGTAATTGTTGAAAAGTTGTTTGATGAATAAATGTGATTGTTTCTGTTAGGAATTAACATTTTTTTTCAAATCATTGCAACTGTATTTGCCATTGTGAACTCACCACAGAGTACCCACCAATAAGGACTAGTAAGAAGTTTGCCCACCTCAATTCCTACATGTACATTTGTCAGGATTGTTTGGTCCATCTTGGAGACATCTGTAAGTATGTGCATGTGTGTTTGTGTGTGTGTGTGTGTGTGTGTGTGTGTGTGTGTGTGTGTGTGTGTGTGTGTGTGTGTGTGTGGCTTGATTGTATAATTGTTCTTTATAAATATGGAGATCATTAAAGTTTCCCCATTACTCCACTCAATTAATTTTACTTCAATCACCATAATTTTAAATGTAATAGTATTTTAACCATTCGATCCCACCCAACTTCATGCAGCGAGGTACAGGGACTTGATTGACCAGGCCCAGTTCTACTACAAACATGCTGCTAGATTGGCGCCCTTCAATGGTACCTACCTCCAGTTTTTTAATTTTTCTTTTTTCATTTTGGGATGAGTGATGATTCTTGCATGTTCCCCATACCTTAAATTTGATTCCAAATTAATTTGTGCGGTTGAGGTATGGTTATTCTATTTATTCTATGGTTATTAAATAATTAATATTGAATCCAAAATGAATTTATTAAAAGTTTTAATAATTCATAACATTTCTTTTCAATCTTTTTTCTTCGAATGATAGTGTAATGGGTAAGGCGGCCGGTCCTTCAGTCGCCGTGATCGGGTTTGAGTGCAAAGACATTGCCGCTTATTATTTGTGTTTTGTTAATACCACTGAGAATTAATTACCAGAGAATAAATTATAATAATAATAAAGCAAAGAATATTATAGTTTTGTTAGTTTTCAAATGTACTTTCTCGTTGTTGTTACAAAATGAAATATAGCCGATGTTGAAATATGACAGGCCAGCCGTACAATCAGTTGGCCATCTTGGAGGTTCAACGCGGCAACAAGCTGTCGGCTGTTTTCTATCACATGAGAGGTCTTGCCCTTATACATCCATTTCCTGTTTCAGAGGTCAACCTGATGAAGTTCTTCAACAAAATATCAAAGGACAGGTCGGTTGTTTGTGGTTGTTGTAGTGCTGCTGTTGTGATATCGTACTGTTGTTTTGATGTTGTGTTGTATGGTGTTGTGCTGTTGTAATGTTGTTTTCTTCTTTATTTCTAATATAATAGATGATGATATTGGATGATAAATATTAAATTAAATCATTATGAATGTTCTCAGGTTATTTTTAGCTGATAATATCTAATAGTTTTTATATTGATTTGTAGCATTAATATATATGTGATTAATGAGCACATTGTATCTTTGAAAGGTAGCGTTGTGTGTGTGTGTGTGTGTGTGTGTGTGTGTGTGTGTGTGTGTGTGTGTGTGTGTGTGTGTGTGTAAGAAGGCGTGTGTGTGTGTGTGTTATGTGAAGTGTTGTGTGAAGGTGCGTGTTTGTGTTTTGTGCGTGTGTGACAGTCTTGATTTTATTCTCAGCTACGAAAGCAGGCAGAAGCTGGCCAGCAACGAGTGGATTTCCTTCTTTCTGCAGTTCCACGCAACGATTTTTCTTAATTTGGGTTCGTTATGTGTTTTTTAGTTGCTATGAATATCAAATGTTACGTTGGGTTTTGTTTTGTTTTTTTTTATTTGTCAAAATCTATAAATTTAATGAGCCATGTATATATCTAGTTAATAAATAATTTAATTACATTAATTAATAAAACTAAAATTTTTGTTTAATAACATGCTTAGATTTGAACAAATCAGAGATTCGACTGAATAAAATTCTCTCAACATTCAACAACAACCTCGAATCAACATCGGGATTCTCAGGCCTGCAACTCATTCAGATATGTGCCATCAACTTCTACCAATGTTACTGCCTGGCAAAGAGGGTAGCAACAAAATCTAACGATAAGAAGAATGCATTCAACATTAACCAATCAGGTGACAGCAAGAAGGTAAGCGATGTCACTGGAAGGTCTGGTTGCGAGACCGATGTCACTGGAAGATCTGGTTGCCAGGATCATCTCGTTGGCAATGACGGAGATGAAAGCAGAACTTTGAAAGTTTTGCTCTCTGAGGATGCACGAGGCTGTAGTGGAAGCACTGATGGTGAAGTCAGAAGTAACCGTTGGGGTCTGGAAGGAGAGGTGGAGGACATGATTGATGACAGTTTTGTTTTTGATGAGGTACGAAACATTCCTCACCATGGTGATCATTTAGATTCAACTGCGCATAAGGAACGTTGTGTTGATGCGAGAGATGTGCAGTACAAAAAGCAGTTGATCATGGTGACGGATTTGACAGGTGAGTTGGTTGTTTATTACGGAAGTGAACGAGCGTGTTTAACTTAGTAAATTTTTATGACATTTATAATTTCATTCAGTTGCAATATTGAATCAAATGCTCGAGAAGTGCTGTGAAGCTGCAACTACAAATGAACAGAATGGCTGCAGTGAATTCAACGACTTCGCACTTGAAACAGTTTTTCCCTCTGTTAAGGTTTTTTAATTCCGTCACTTTCATAAATAAATTATCACTCTTCATTATTTTATATTTAATCACAAGTAAAAATTTTAAACATTTATATTTTATACACAAATCAACAATGTACTGAAGTAAATTTTTTATTGCATCTTAATTTTATTCTGAATTTGTTTACTAAATTAATTTTTTTGATGTAATAAATTTAACGTTTAAATTGATTTCAAGTCGTGTCTTGAATGGCTGGTCATCAACCTTGAAATGTTGCACGACTGCACCAACGTGCAGACAAATTTGTTAGTACTGTTGTACACCATCATCTGATGTCTTGAAGCTTACTTTTTAATTACTCTACTACTTTTCATCATTGCTCTTTTTATCACCGCCACGTCCAATATCATCATTATTAACATTAATTAATTACTGGCGAATGTGCAAATTATTACATGGGATGCTGCATATTAAAATTTCTATTGCTGCCATAAATTACGCCAAAACTTCAGACTTGAATGAGGCTAGTTTACATGTCATGTGAATGTCGTTGTGATTGGTTGTTGTTGAAGCTCGTGCTGTGTTGACAGGTGTTGGACTCTGGTCTGCAAACTGTTGAACAAGTTGCTAGCCTATAGAAACATACAGCGTCAACGTTTGTCGATCAATTCAAATGGAGAACATTATAGAAGTTGGTCACTATTAATAATTCTTCACCACCTCATTAAGCATCTTAACATAATCCAATCTCTCTTGATTTTTTTAAATATTTTTTGTTTTAAAATTTTGCTGTTGCTAACTCGTCGCAATTTTTTACATTTGATAATCTGAAAACAGTTTTGGAAAGTTTCTAATTGGTTCTTTTTTTCATTCCAGGCATTCCATTAGGCGAGGATTATGATCTCTCACATTTCCTGCCTCTGTCCAAGGCTCAGAAGTAAGCGCTAATTCACAGTGATTTTTTTTATTTTTGAGTTATGTGTTGCTTCGCCGATGATCTTTATTTTATATTTCCAACTTATGAAGTTAGCGCACATTTTTAATTGAATATTATACCTATTTGAAATAGTTTGGAAGCGTAATCACGTAATATATGAATTTAATTGCCCCTTTGACTCTGAGATAACTTTGAGTTAAAGCGTAATCACGTAATATATGAATTTAATTGCCCCTTTGACTCTGAAATAACTCTGAGTTAAAGCGTAATCACGTAATATATGAATTTAATTGCCCCTTTGACGGCTGTGCACGTCAACATGACTCATATATCGGGATTACTACTACCTCACTGACTAGAAGGCTTACGATGCATAAACAGAGTGGTGCTATCAAATCTCATTTGGACTCAACACACTCAAACACAATTAGCCGTGAAATCCTGGACAGCAACACCAAAGTAATATACCAGAACAGCAACTACACGCATCTTAAAATTGCAGAAGCAGTCCTAATCGACATCAATAAACCAAAAATAAATATACAACAAAAAATGACAACCTCACTTCCAACCCGGCGCTTAACCAACAACGGAAACAAAGAAGTAATAAAAACTAGCATCGTAAATAGTGACAAAGAAGAATATGATGCTATCGATGAAGAAAAGGAGACCAAAGAAGATGACCAGCCAATTAAGAAACCTGACACCTAATTCGCATCAAAGTTCAATTTTACAACACTAAACTTAATTTTTACAACGTCAAAGTTCATCTTGACAAAGTCAATATTTCCCTATATATACAGCAAGGAGCACTGAAGATGATTCATTCGGAATCGAAATATGGCCTTATTTGCAGCATGAATTCGAAAAATAAGTTTATTTTGAATTTTAATAAACTAAACGTTCACCAAAAAACTTTAGTGAGAAAAATCGAAAAAACGAACTACAAACATATTAACGCCAAACATTCGGTAGAATTTATAGAATATTGTAAAAATATATATATATATATATACACACACATAAGTTGAATGTTACAATGTTAACTGATTTTCTCTCAAAGAAACCTGGACCTCTTCACCCGATTCCCACAAATGCTGGCTGCAGAGGAACTCTCATTTGTCAGGGTTCAGAGAATGCTTAATGCCGGAATACAGCTTTCAAAATTTCTTTCAAAGTTGAGCCAGTCCAAGGACCTCATAGCGTATAGGTTGTGCTTTTTATAACTTACGTAAATAACGTTGTTTGAGAATTGCTACGTATTCATATTCACGTTTTTATTGTCGAAGCTACGGAAAGTTAAACATTATTGTTTTGTTTTTCATAAAGTTTATGTTTAATTTTTTATTAATCTATTTGAGAAACATTTTATCTGTGGCCTGTAGATTCGCTTCATTAAACGCCAATGAAGTTTGGTTAATAACAACTCGAAGAACCAAGATAAGTTATGGTTAGGATGGTTAGGATGGTTATTATAACTTATGGCTAGTGTGGTTATTATGGTTCTGATGCTTATTTCGGTTTTTTTGGTTCTATCTGAATGTTGCTGAGACCAAGGTGGAACTAGAGAAAAGGAACAATTTAAATGAACTTTTTATGATTTGTAAACAAATGAGAAACAACGAGCATGTTGAATATACCGATGAGATGAAAAAATCAACGTTATTATCGCTTAATGTTATGTGCAACATTTAAATTATTTTCACTATATAAATTCAACGTGTAATCATTTGAAATTCTGCTTGAAAGCTTTGAAAATGCAAAACTGTTTGCAGTAGTAGGTTAATATAAAACGAGGTATAGTGTTATATTGTTCTATTATATTATATACTCAACATTTGGCCAGCAGTTTGCAGGTGGGATACTCGGAATCTGGCCACGTAGTATCTTTTACAACCAACGCACAGAGCCAAGCAGGTTGGTATCCTCAAGCATTTCTTTCTTTTCCTTCATTTTTTCCAATTGTTGTGTTCGTATTTTGGTTTTTATTGTTGTGAAATCGTTAGCAATTGTTTAAAAATGGCTGTAGCACGATTTGGATTATTATATTTCATTTCAACATAATGCATTACTGTTAACAATATAATGCACTGACCTGACATAACGATCGAGCCAACACACTGATTAAAAATAACCGTTTTAGGACATAATTGAGGAGAATGTTTTCATTCACTCGTATCATAAGATAAATGGACTTTCTTTTTTTAATCAATTTAATTATTTTTTATTCAGTAGTTACTTTAATTAATAATATATATCTTAAATTTATTTAACAATTTATGTACCTAAACACGCGTGTTGACAATCTTTTTCTCGTTAGTTGTTGGAACGACGACATTTTCTTTTAGCAACAAAGACAAACTCGACAACTTCATTTTTAATGCTGACCTTGATGGCATTCTGATCACCATTCTTAAGGCCTCTATTTGTTAAAGACATATGACTTATTTTTGACCGGAAATTTGATTTTTATAAACCGAACAGCAGTGGGATTTTTACAGACCAAACATTTTCTACGCACAATTAATTTCCGTCTTGAAGAACGTTTAGCCCTTTATGCACTTGTTCTTTAAATTAACGGACATGTTTAAACTTTTAAAAATAGGCCAATCTGGTGTTGTTCGACAAATATATTCTGAGATATTTTTTATCCAGACATGTACAAATTTGGATTACGTAGCGTACGCGCCTTACATATCACAATTTAAGCAATCACAAATAAGCTGTCATTTTTCAAAATAAGTTGCGACTTCTCTATAAATGTCCGTCTTTTGTTAAATTGTTTCCCTAATTAAACGGGCTAAATTGAGATACCAAATGAGATTCGATTCCTGAAGATTCTGTTAAGCAGTTGGATTCCTTTTACCGTATTCTTTTATTCAGGCCACTATAGAATGCATGCGTGCATTGTAGAAACTAAATGTGTTTAAGTTTGACAATTTTTTTAACGGCACTTCAAAATGTGAATTAATTTTCTGTGAATTCTCTGTGTTCTTCCACGTTTTTTTTAATCATCTATCACGCTTTGTCCCAACAAGTTTTAAAATTCTTGTCTTCATAGTTCCCGAGCAGTCGACACCTTTCACGACGCCAACATCAGCCGCTCTGCCAAAAGTTTATTCTGAAAGAAGACATACCAGGACCAATGTTGCTATGCAGGTTTTTATTGTGCTTGTGTGGTGGCATCTGTAATTTTATTAAATTTTATTATTGATGAGTTTGCGTGCAGAATAACACGTTGTAAAGTTTTGAACTAACTTTTTTGTAGACTGTTTAATGCAAATGCATTTTTTACTAATATGACATTACGTAAATATTATAAAAGAATGAACCTGATAAAATTGTAATAAAAATATTGCTTTTATTTTTCTTTAATTATTATAAAACTGGGGTGGCAAACTACGAGTGCCTCTAGGCGGCAAATTACGAGTTAATCCGCCACTGATTTTGACCGTTGCAATTGCAATTGCAATTCAATCAGTTATTTTATGGGTTTCAGAAGCATCGTGAACAGCAGCATATTTTAAAAATTATAAATGGCAGGCCATCTTGAGCAAGACGATCAGCCAGGACTGTGCTCTCCAACCTGCTGACCAATCACAAGAGACTACATCCCTTGCGCTCTCAAGTAGATCAGAGACAATAGAAAACGATCTCAATGCGTCGAACCATAAAACAAGAAGCAAGAAATATCTCAAAGTGGATTTCAACAACGTAAGAGTTATTTCAATTAATTAAGTTTTTTTTTTATTGAAATGCATCGAAAATTTAATTAAACTAAGAATCTTCTTTTATTGTGTCAATGTACTTCAAAGCAATTAAAATAATTGTCATTGCAGTAGTTGAAATAAACAGTCGCTCACATTTTCATACCCGTGGATGTCGAATTGTCAGCAACTTAAGTACGAAGCAACTGTTCCTTCCTGAAATTTTCCTTCATTCCATAGTTGTGCAGAAGTGTTTGAAACTGTTTACTTGTTTGTTTAATTTTAACTGAGCCATAATTACTTGCAAGCTGTATACGTATTCTGCTGATAACTGTACAAAAGTTTACCGCGCAGGTTAACTTTCGCTATAAATTCAGGGTTATCTGTAGGATGCCGTTGAAATTCTAACAAACCAAACCATCTTTTTACTTGCTTTTAATTGGTTTTTGAAGTTTTCTCTGCAATATTTACAATTCATTGCATTTCTCTTCTCAACTTGCAAGTTGACGCTCAAGATTGCTTGCCATATTTGCTTATCGGCTGCAATGATATTTTTCATTAAGGGATATTTTATATTGAATAAAATCTTGTGAGTTAAAATTTCATGTTAGCACATTTAGTACGTGAAAAAATCGTGTGATCTGGAATTAGAACGTTTTTGCTTCTTTTTCATTGTACTAAAGATGTTAATCTCTTTATATTTCTAGGATCAATTTTTGTACAACTTTGAAGACATTTCTGCACATCAACACAAGATTTGGACCCAGTATAAAAAAACTTCATTTTTTTTCTTTTGACAAAATCTAGGTGTCACCGACTTAATGACCAGAAACAACTTATAAGCCACTTGTTGTAAAAGAATGGAGCAATGTTGTTCACCTTATCGTGAGATTCATCGGCGGCAGGTTTCCGAATTAAGTTGAACCTAGACCGACCATGAAATACTTTTTTCACGATTCAAAACCATCAGACTAATTTCTGTCTTTATTTTATTTTTTGATTATGACCTGATTAATTTGTATCTGTTTGATGAGAAATTTATTATGAAAAAAAATTTAATTCTATCTCTGAGTTTAATAATAAATTTGTATTCGTTCGCATGTGATGCACAATCTGTCTTTCATCGTTTGGCTGTACAAAAAGGAATTGTTGATTTTTTCATAATAGCTGTATCAAAAGCTGGAATTCTATTATTATTTTTTTATTTTTTATGCAGCTCTGACATACGCAAACCGCCTACATATCATCCCTGTATTTAAACCTTCGTGCCACAAGACTGTACTATCCAAAGGACACGACTCGACGTACATACACGTTATATGCAAGCACCGCATCATACTCGCATGGCGTATGATAGTCTGTGAGTTTCGACCGACAGTATTCGAACCTGACCATCGCGTAACCGCACGAGACATGGCGCATCCACCGACTGACTAATTCGCTGACCAAAACATTCAATAGAAGTTAAAAAGTCACAATCGAGGAACCATCTGAAAATCAATAAAAAATACTCGAGTGATTAACTGCAGAGATGTTGTAAGTAAAGCCTTTTTGTACTGATGTGATAACAATGATGATCGTAAAGTTTTATCGAAATCTGTCTTCTATTGAATGGAACGGAAGTTATTGTCCGACTTGCGACAAAATTATTTATTTATGTTTTTTTTGCCTTTATAATTGTATTTATTCAATTTAAAATTAACATTGTTATACATTTGCACTCTGAAAAATGTTTTAAAGACAAAGCTGAAATCGCGATTTCCGTATTGCCAAAAGTTAATAAAATTAGGCCAATAAATGAAAGTTCGTAAGATTAAATGATCACTTCTACGCACTAATGTAGCAAGAGGAGGGTGGAGAGAGAAAGAAAAGGTCAAGGCACAAGTTTCAAAAATGTTCATTAACATCTTAAAAAAATCAAAAATAAATCCAAGACAGCTTAAATCTGAAGTTTAGTATACTACTGTTCTCAAACATTTTTTATCTAAACAATCGTGATCAAACGTGGAACGAAATTGTCATTGTTCGTAAGACAGTTATGACTCAAACCCTTTGATCAGAGAAAAATCATCTTCGTTTTACATGATCGATTTCCGTTGCACTTTTCTGCGGTAGTTTGTTTAATTTTTCTGAAAAATTACTTCATTGTAGGGTGGGAACAATAAAACAAGCCCGATTAAAGATTCCATCCTTCATCAGCTTTTGTCGTTTTTGGTAGCTAAGCTATTCGTAACTGCATAATGTCGATAGATATCATCTGAGAAGCTAGCAAAAAGTTGATTTTTTAAATAGCATTGCAACTCCTCAATTTCCGTCCTCTGATGAGCATAGGCTCGAAAACGATTAGCATATGATCAAGAGCACAAAGGCAAGAATTAATATTTAAACAAAGTTTGGGAATAAGTTTACAAGTTTATGCTGGTTGAAGTGTAAACGAAATCAAAATTTTCCAAGACTAATTTTATACCAGGTCACATAACATCCAAATACTATTTTTATGAGCATGTACATGCGTGTCTTCCTATTGTGTTATTGTTTTGTTAAGGCCAGCAACATTGTTATTGTTACAGGTTGATCATAATTAATATCTCTAGTGTATATTTATTGCCACAAACATTATCAATGTTGTTATCGTCATTGATATCACAAAGAACTTTCACTGTAATATATATATATATATATATATATATATATATATATATATATATATATATATATATAAATCATGAACATAAATCTAAAACAAAGGTACCAAATTTGTTTGGTCTGTGTTATTTTTGTCACAATTAAATTAATTTTTGGCATAGAGGGATAAAAAGTAATCTCTACATATAGAGTGATGTAAAATTGTAATTCTGAATTTCCATATACAATAATTTGGTTGATTCATTTGCCACGTGTGCAGAGTGCATTGGCAATTTGATCGGTTGTATGAAATGTGTAAATATGTATGTTTCTAGCCTACTATCCTGGAGAAACAACTTCAGTAAAATGAGTGAATTATTGACGAATGGAGACCCATAAGATAAAATAGAGTTGAAGAGGTGATCGTTCCATATTCCATACCAATATTCCAGATTGGTAGTTGTAGCGGGGATCAAAATGGCATCGAGTGTTTTGATGCACGCTTGTTTTTGTTTGTGCTTGACCTTAAGAATTTTCTAATTCTTATTACTCATATTTTGTTCATTCAAAAGCGGTCTAAAGATTGGCAGATTTACTTTAAAAAAAATTGGGAAGAAATTAAAAATCATTTTCTTGTTGATAAAATTCATTTTTTACTTCTCCAACTTCAGTTCATCTCAAAGCCCTTTAACGTTCTTGAAGTTTTTGACGGGCTTTTTTGAATAGTTTATTTTTTAAGCTGTTTTATTATAGACAACAAACAAACATACTGAAATAATTTTAATTTATTTGAAAGAAATTTTTGTTTAAAATATGATTGATTATTTTTTCATCACGTAATTTTTTTAATGTATATTTTATTTGTAGAATCTGGAGATAACGCAGAATAACAAAGAAGAAAGTGATACTTGCATAGTTTTATTAAATTTTGACATTAACAATAACAACAGCAATAACAATAGTAACAACAATAACAGAAACAGCAACATTAGCAACTGCCAGAACAACAGTATCAGCAATGATCACAGCAACAACAATTACCAAAGCATTAATAATAACTACGGAAACACCAATAACAACAAAAGTGAAATCAATAACTGCAGCAACAACAATAACCAAATTGACAACAGCAACAACGGTAATAACTTAAATAACTTAAATAACAACAAGGCAACAAAAATTTTCACCTATAAATTTAGCAATAACAAAAGTTTGCACAACAACGCAACAGTTCCTAATACTGACAAGCAGTTGCCAGTTTTCCATTTTACCAAAAATATAAATCTAGCATGTTATGCCAATCCGAAAGCGCTGAAGCAACAAATGCAACTTCTTCGTCGACGACAACAAGCGCAAATTGCCAACCAGCAGCGACAATTGTTCCAACAACAGCAAGCTTGCTGTGATCAACAAGATATCGTTGTCCCACCATCAAATATTCAAGTTATACCTTTCTCAAACACCAATGCGTTACATCAGAAATCTGGTCAGGATAGCATGCAGAAGCCACATTTTCTGCGAGGAGATCAATGTGAAGAAAATTTACGAACATCAAGCAAACAATCAGTTAATAACATCAGCACCAATATTCATCCATCAACTTATTGTTTGCAACAAAGAATTTTTGAAGAAGTGCCACCAGAAGTGCAGCACATTCATCAACAAATGTTGCTTCAACGCTCGCGTCAACCGATAGATTGTAAAAATTTACAACAAACCACAAAACAAGAATGTCAAACAGGCAAAAATTTTGAAAAACTTCAATGCCATTATATATGTCCTCAAGTTACAAAGTGTGGAGATACATACAACCCTCATCAACCAGCCAAAAATTTGAACGTAACGTTGGATACATGCCCCGCCGGAGACAGATTGACAACAAGTTATGACGAACTTCAGCAGATGAACGAAGCTGACGATAACTTAAACTGTAAGAAGCTAGAACAAGAATCTAAGTAGGCTTTTGTTCACATCTACTAAAATGTAATACATGAATATATATGTTTTGATTGTAAAATCCGCTTTTTTTCAATTATATAATTTTTTAATGACTCCATTGTTAAATTTTATTCTAAATCATAAACGTCATTCTACATGTTTCAGAAGGAAAAACTTTGTTTGTAGAAAACGTTTAGAAACAAGAGATGGGCCGACGTCTGCCAGTGACCACATGTTTATGAATGAGAAAGGTATTTTATCTTCTGTTGGCAACTTTGCTTCTAATTTATTTGAAATATGAACAATCGAAATTGGTTTAAATTAAACGGTAATAACAACATCACTGACAGATAAAAGCTAGTTTTGTACAATGAAGACTAAATGGTTTTATTAACATAATTAATTATTTAACATTTTTCACATTTTATCATAGGTAGTATTTTTACTTTTGTGAACTTTGAATATTTTTGAAAATTTAATCTTTCAATTTAACTTTTCATCGCACGTAACTTTAAACTGCTATGTTGTGAAAAAGTTATATTAAAATTTTTGAATTTATTTTTAAAATATTTTGTTTAGGTATATCGAATGTTGTTGGGGGCATCAATCAAGCATGCACAGAACATCAAGATAAGACAAAAATGCAATGCGGATACTCTGAGCTACAAGAATGTCAAGATGAGTTACTTAAAAAACGCGAGTTGGAGCAGTGCAAATTGCAACAGAAGAAAAATCAACAGGTTAAAATTGAAATTCAGAAAGTGCAACATCAACGTCAACAGCTATGGAAGCTGCAAAGAAGGTACGAGAATCAATTAGAGGAAATTGAGAAACAATGTATGCTAAAATTCAACCAAAGAGGGTGTACCAATGAAGGAAAATCCCAAAAAATAACATTCGAAAATTCTGAGGGAGGAAAGCCTGTAGATGATAATACTAAAAAAACAAGCCATGAAAGTGTTGAGAATAAAAAACCAGAATCTGTATATGAAAATATTAATAAAATCAAACTGGCTTCACTGCATGAAAATATCAAAAAGGTCAAACCGGCGTCTGTACTTAAAAATACCGAAAAGATCAAAACTGTGTCTGTAAATGAAAAAATGAATGAATCAATCTCAGAAACCATAAATACCTTAAAAGTAGATCTGCAGCCAAATGTTGAAAATACTTCCAAGGAAAGTTCTGATCGAAAAAGCAGTCAACCGTCAATTTTGACAATTTTTTCTCCAATACCACCCGAACATGAACCGTCAAATTTACATTGTTCACCATCGTTGCAGTCTGGCGACATAGACGAACTTATTGATCAGCAAAACAATCTCAAAAAGATGCTACAACTCCATTATCAAAAATACGAACAACAGCAGCAAACAATCCATTACCTGAAGCAACAGTATGAACAACTTACATCTTCACTTCTGGATTGTTGTTCACCTTGTTGCAATGATTTTCCAACATGTTGTTCATGTTTACCCAATTTTTACTGTGTTGATCACAGCATTTGCACTAATGTTGAACCACTAACATATCGTCAACAAAAAGATTTGGAGATGCTTCATAAAAAGCATGAAGAGAAAAAAATTACTAAAGGTTGGAAAAAATGCGACAAATTCAAATGTATATCCCAGAGCCAGCAGTTAATTGAATTTCCAAAAAAATCATCTCCTGTGTGTCCTTTAAATTCGCAACCAACTTCTGACAATTCATGTAGATCATTTTTATCACTTTTTCCTCATCCACCTCAAAAGTACAAGTCTAAGTCAAAAAATGTTAAACCACATACATTTCCATCAGGCAATTCTAAATGCCAACCTCGTCAATCAGATTATTCTAAATCCCAACCTCACCAATCAGATTATTCTAAATCTCATTCTCACCAATCAGATTATTCTAAATCTCATTCTCACCAATCAGATTATTCTAAATCCCAACCTCGCCATTCGGATTATTCTAAATCTCAACCTCACCAATCAGATTATTCTAAATCTCAACTTCACCAATCAGATTATTCTAAATCTCATCCTCATCAATCAGATTATTCTAAATCTCATCCTGACCAATCAGATTATTCTAAATCTCAACCTCACCACTCGGATTATTCTAAATCCCAACCTCACCAATCAGATTATTCTAAATCTCAACCTCAACAATCAGATTATTCTAAATCTCAACCTCACCAATCAGATTATTCTAAATCTCAACCTCACCAATCCGATTATTCTAAATCCCAACCTCGCCATTCGGATTATTCTAAATCCCAACCTCACCAATCAGATTATTCTAAATCTCAACCTCACCAATCAGATTATTCTAAACCTCAACTTCACCAATCAGATTATTCTAAATCTCAACTTCACCAATCAGATTATTCTAAATCTCATCCTCATCAATCAGATTATTCTAAATCTCATCCTGACCAATCAGATTATTCTAAATCTCAACCTCACCACTCGGATTATTCTAAATCCCAACCTCACCAATCAGATTATTCTAAATCTCAACCTCACCAATCAGATTATTCTAAACATCAACCACCTCAGTTAAATCATTTTGGATCACAACTTCTTCAGAAGGATTATTCTAAAGCTCAACCTTCGCAATCCACTGTTTCTGTTTCTCAAGATGGGCGATTGATTTCTTCTATATCCCAACCACCCCAATCAAATTATTCAAAATCTCAACCGCCCCAATCGGATTATTCCAAATGCCAACCCCACCAATCTAATTATTCTCAACCTCACCAATCAGATTATTCCAAATCCCAACCAAATCAACCGGATTGTTCAAAATCTTTTCAACAAACAGGTTACTCAGAATCTCAACAAAATTCATCAAATTTTTTAAAATCCCAAGTGCCGCAATCGAATTATTCTGAATCCCATCCATCCCATTCAGTCAATTCGAAATGCAGTTCACAGGAATCGTGTTATACTAAATCCCAATCAAGTTATTGTAAGTCCCAGTTATGTCAGTCAAATTATTCTGAACATTACGCGACCCAGCCAGATTACACTAAACTCCAATTATTCCTGCCCCCTCATTTACGTTGCCGTGAACTCCACCAGCAATCGCAATGTTCTGATTCATATTATTCTATGCTCTGCTCATGTCAATCAAACAATTGCCGTCATTTAATGAAAACCTTACCATATTCAAATCAAGAGTGTTCTTATTCATTGTCTTCTCATTCAACCTTAACACCGTCACTACAAATTCCATGTTCTTCTTCAAAGTTTTCTAATGACGATTTACAGTGTTGTCAAATTTCCAATATGACAGAATACATCCCAAATCCATCTAATTTATACAAGAAAACATTTGAAGCATTACAGACTCAAAATATACCTATTTTTAATTGTGGTAATATGCTAAACTTCCAAAAATTAACACACTGCCCAGTAGAGCAAGATTCAAAAAATAGACAGTGCAATAATGCAAACGTTGATAATTTCTGCAAATGCAACATTGTAGTCGTACCACCTCAGGAGCAAACAAATAAAATTTTGAAGTTAGGAAATGATGAAAAAGTGGCAAAATGCATGCAATATTGTTTACGCTCACCATTTATATCAAGCAAATTAAAAGATCAACAAAAGATACTTGATCGACAATATTCTGGCTGTTGCTGTTTAAGGTCATCTACAGCTGATAATGAAAATGGCATAGAGGAATTTAAAGAAATTAAAGAGGTTTTAAAACCAGATTACCAAAATCCTGAAAAAGTATCAAAACTACCAAAGGACCCAAGCAAAGTTGAAGTTAAAGAAACTGAAGACATCGAAAAGGTTAATAAGCCGTATCGTAAAACTAAAAATTCAAGTAGATCCAGCAAATTTAGTACACCAGTAAATTTTGAAGAACCTGAAAAATACGAAGAACCAGAAAAGATTGAAGAACCAGCAATATTTCAAGAATCTGACAAATTTGAGGAACCGGAATTAAATAAAGTGTCGGAAAAATATGACGAACCAGATATAAACGAAGGTTCAGAAAAAAAGATTGAAGAAGAAATACCAGAAAAGATTGAATCATCGGATGATATGTGTGAAGATGAAAAAGTAGATTCATGTGAAGAACCTTTCAAATTACCTATAATGCAAAATAACTGGGAACCAGACTGTCATTTGCAAGCATTACAAATGAACCTATACAAACAAGTTAACGAAAATATTAAATTTTATTATCAGCAGAAGCAGATGATGGAAATTGAGCGACAACGTCAAGAGATTTTATTAAAAGAGCAAAAATGCAGAGAGTTTGAACAAAAGTTACACCAGGAACAAATGCAAAGAAAATATGTTGAAAAGGAATTGAACCAACACATGCAAAAACAGATCCAAGAACAAATTAGGCGAATCAAAGAGGAGTCATGTCAAGAAAAGCAAATTAAACCTCTTGACCCAACGAGAAAGTTGTTACCTCAGTGTAAATGCAGAACCTCAGCAACTATCAATCCCATTGACCAGCCAACATCAACAAACAAGTGCGTGCACAACTTGTACAAAACGAATGATGATAAAATAACAGTTAAGGATGAAAAGTTTGGCTTTAACAGTCTGTATGCTAAAACAGCATTGGTGCCTTGCCAAACAAAAAACAACTACGGCGATGATGAAGATGACATCAGCGACTTATTTCCCGTGGTCAGTTGAATTTTTTAATCATCGTTAATCCTTATTTTTGAAATGTTTAACCAAATGTTTGTTCTAAACGTTTTTTAAACGATTTTGAGAGCATGATTTAATAAACGTTGAATAAGTTAGTTTTTATTTAACTTTAAAAAAGTAATGTTTGCTGAGACACGCAAAAGCCGTCTTCTTGATAACTCGATGATAACAATAGAACCATGTAATTTCCCTGTAATTTCACCGCGATGCGTAGTTCCTTTTATTCTTCAAATTTTTTAAATTTTTAACTTTTTTAAATGAATATTTTTTGTCAGAAGTTGAATCAATTTTTTCTCGTAGTTTTCCATAATGAGATCTAAAACTTATCGTACAATTTAGAAGCTTGACTTAATTAGAAACATAAGATTATCAAATAGAAATGTAAAAAGAAGAGCTAACGAGTCGAAATCAACGATTCTTTTTACTTGGGATGAAAACCAAAACGTGGCTAAGTGTGGTTGTTAAATGTAGAAAGATACAACACTGTACAAAACCAGCCGCAATGGTTTAATGTTTGTTGTATCAATTCCGAAACACGGATGAAGTATGGTTTGGAGGTTGAATACAATTTTATACAAAAGGAAATTGTTAAGTGCAGCGTTAAAGAGGTTCATTTTAAAACTTGATTTAAATTGCTTTACGAAAAGTAATTTAAATGTTGATTTTGATTTAAAAAGTTGCTTTCAAAGTAAATTAATTATGTTTATGATTTGTTTTAACCTAAAATATACCAATAAATTGTTTGTTATCCAGCCTAGATTCAAAATGTGCGTCGACCAGGAGTTGTGAGTATACTTTTAAAATTTTCATTTTCTTCCAATTCGACAGTTCATTTTGAATTTTATTAAATTGCATTTAGAATTACTTCACATCATTACTATATCTTATTAGCAACGTTAAAATGAGGCATCTGGTACAATGATAATATGTAATTTATAATTTTAATAAATTAATAATTTAGTTTCATAACGAGTTTTATATCGTTGAATAACGGCAGCAAATAATAATGGATAAATTTACAACAGGAGAATGGTTAAAAGCCCTAAGCTTTGCTGTCAAAAATATCAGACGGCAAACCCTACCAATATAAGAAACATGATGTGCAGATCGTCCGTTTTTAACAACAGCAACAACGCAGATTATGCCCCTATCAGACTGGTGAAGGCAGCCTCTTACGACTGCAGTGAATGTGTGGAGATCGCAGGGGCTGACAGCAACCACAGAATGAAGATCAAGGATAATTTCGATAATAATGTCATTCAACTGTAATTTAATAGCGTACTACGCTGTTATATAATAACAGTAATTATGTGTGACATTATTCTGCTATATTCATTTGATTCTATTAACATATAGAATAATAGCTAAAAATCGTTGTTCCCTTAACATCGAGACAACGCATCACAGAAACTATCAACATCACTTTCGAAAATCGTTGGCCATATTATTCCCATTTTTAAACACCTGATAATTTGATATGGAAAATTTTTATAGTTTTGGATGATTGTTATAAATTATTTAATTTCCAAGCTACTAACTCGGTATTCATTCGATTTCATTTCCTTAACATGATAATTTAATATTATTCAACGTATTATACTTGTTTCCGATATAAGTTTTTCTTAGTTCGTACCTCACCTATCTTGGTGGAAGGTAAGTAATTAGATATTTATGTATAGTGTTGTTATTTCGTCTTAAGTCACAAGTCACAAGCAGGATTTTAACTGGCTTAATCAGCATGACAAAGTTATTGTTATTTGCTCTTTTTTAATTTTATGAGCATGAAATATATATATATATATATATATATATATATATATATATATATATACAATATTCTATAAATTCTACCGAATGTTTGGCGTTAATACGTTTTTCTCACTAAAGTTTTTTGGAGAACGTTTAGTTTATTAAAATTCAAAATAAAGTTATTTTCCGAATCCATGCTGCAAATAAGGCCATATTACAATATTCGGAACATATTAACGCCAAACATTCGGTAGAATATATAGAATATTGTAAAAATTATGCTCTATTACCAATATATATATATATATATATATATATATATATATATATATATATATATATATATTTCATCTTATTGCACGATAAGTTTACCAAATTTACAAGTTCATTCAATTCATTGACAAAGCATGTTGTTAACCAGCAAAAGATAACATGATTTGATGAAAAATGCAACTTCGGTTATAAATCGATTTGACATGTGATATTCTATTGAAAACCATTTTTCATATGAGGATGAAATGCATATAAATAGATCATTTTAAACTCTCAGGCCCACTAAAATTTTACGATTAGTAGAATTAAATTTAAAAATTTAAATTTATCGGTGTTATCTCGGGTCGCCTAATTTCGATACATGGAAAGGAAGCTTCCTTGTAAACACGGACTTCATAGGTAGTTTTTTTTTGTACCTATTTTCTTCGTTGTCGAGGCCAAGGATAGTACACCTTAGTTCTTCAATCTGAGATTTTTCTATCGTCTTAGCTAATAATTCATGAGGGTCGTTATAGAAGGTGTAATCACACAAAGACTATCTAAACTTTCTGGTAATATGCCAGATCATGGAATCCACATTTAGACAATGGGTTAGTCATACCCATCACTTTAAAGAACTGCTGGTCTATTGGAAAGTTCTCAGATGTCTCGGTCGTTAGATTGCACTTGTTTCCATGGAGAACCTTGTACCAGTTTTTCAATATTTCTCTCAATTTTCCTCCCCACACATGGGTTGGCATATAATTATATTTGTCCTCACAGACATTATTTAATAATAAATCAATCGTTATTATTTTTGCTTTGAATTAAAAATTTTTCATAGCCTTATTGAGATATCGTATCCTGTTCATTTTGCTTTTGGCAGTTAATGGCCTAAAACAAAGAAAACATAGACACACACGCAAAAGTTCTAAGCCAACCAGACCACGTTCCTTTTCAATTCTTGATTGAGCTGCCAATGTAGATTTTTTTAGTTATTTTACTGTTTTTACTGTTATTTTATTGTGATCATATTGACCCTTCCAACTTTCACGATCAATAGTTTATTTGTTTCAACAATTAAACACAAAAACCATGCATCGGTCACGTCATTTTGTTTTTCTATAGACTGGGACCAATAAATGTACTTTGTCTAAAATTTGAATTGTATTGTAAAGGACGTTGGCTAATTTTCTTCAAATTATTGTATTTTAGATGAAAACTTCGCGACATCGTCACATTTTTTCCCTGTGGAAGTATATTCAATTTAAGAACTGACCGAACCGAACTGAAGGTAACGATGACCTTTTGTCATTACTAAATCACTATTTACCAGCAATCAATAATAATAAGTTGATCAATCCCTTTATAAATTGAAATACATAAGCTCTATAGTTTGGAAGAATATAATAGGACACAACCGTGATGCGGCGTTGCTTGTTAAGACTAAGAGTTTGTGTGATGAAGCAATGAAAAGTTAGACTGCTATATGTATTTGGAGTGAACTATAGTTGTACTTGAAAAGTAAATAAGTTCTAATGAAGAAATTTTCACAAATATGAAACAACTTCAGAGGCTGCTGCTGCTACTTCCACACTTTCATAAGAACCAACTATAAAACACATGCCAGCTGCTAAGTACTATCTTGTGTGTTTTGTATTCAGCTTAAACTATAGATTGTCTAAATTTTCTATAACATTACATTATACAAATAGTATAATTAATATATACATATATGTATATGTTTTCATCCTATGTACTTTAATCTATAAAAATATTAAAACGTAATTGAAGTGCATTTGTATTCAATATTAGTTTGAATCTTCAAGTGTAGTTACTTCGAAATAATTAGTAATTAATCCAAGTAACCGCCGCAAATAGAGAAACAGTCACACACTCACACACATTCACACACAAACATTCACACACAAACATTCACACACACACACACTTACACACACACACACACGCACACATACACAATCTCTCTCTCTCACACACATTATCAAACAAATCAACAAATATCAACAAATGGAATTACTGCTGTCATCATATATATATATATATATATATTTTTCTAGAATAAAACATTCTATCATCAGTTAGTTGACGCACACTGATTGCATTCGTTATTCTTTGGTAAATGAAAAGTTAACTTAACACTTATTAAAAGTAGCTGCCGAAGAGCAGTGTTTGTGTTAGATTTTAATTTTAGGATACAGGTCCAATTCTGCTCAAGTTGATTTTTTTTATTACTTTACAATTTTTCGTTCTCCATAAATCCCAAAATAGTTTCTGTACTTTCTAACTCTGGAAAAATTAAAAAATGGAATTTATGGAATATATAACCACCCCTAAGTTAGATGGGGTAACTTTGTACCAGGCCAATCAGGCCCCCATTGAGGGCACACTCTGCATCACTGCTCACCATCTCATTCTTTCTTCTCGACAGGACTTCAGTGAAGAATTGTGGGTGAGCCATTCATTTCTTCATTTACAAAGTTTTGTTATTGTAATATTTAAAAAATTTAATGTAAAACATTCTAATTTATAAAATTAATAAAGATAATAAATTTAATAAAATAGATGAATTGATAATATACCAAAATATTTTACTTTACAGCTTCTACATAGCAGTGTTGACTCAGTTGAAAAGCGGTTGAATGGATCAGAAAGCATAATAACATTGAAATGTAAAGACTTTCAAATACTAAAACTTGGTATTCCTTCTGCTGACGATTGTGTAAACATTGCTTATTCCATAGAAGCACTCTCCAATATTGGTAAAATAAATTCTATAAATTATTTGACTGTCATATGTCAATTGGCTTTGCGTATGAACAATACTATAAATATAATGTTTTTATTTTACAATATGTGAAAATAATAAGTTAATAAAAACAAACACTTAATAATTAGAATTTAATTTAATTTATGGAACATTTATATATACAACAGCAGATATTTGTCTGTCCTATCCATTCTACAACAGAGTTCCAATTGAGATGTTGGAAGATGGCTGGCACGCATACACTGTTGAGACTGAGTTCAGTCGGATTCAAAACTTTGTAGCTTACGAGTGGAGACTCAGCTATGTCAATAAAAATTATAAGGTTGATTTGTTGTTCTAATGTGTGTCAACATTTCATCTTAGCAGCTTTTTATTCCCCTGCAAGCTCTTACCGTAGATTGTGTTTTAGTTTATTTATTGCATTTAAAATGTTTAATTTATTAATTTATAATGAGTGATTTTTTATTTTAATAGCTTCAAATATGATTCTTTTATTTTAATAGTTTTATGCTTTAAAACGTTAAAGGATTTAATTGTTGAGCTGATTTGCTAGACAGTATAGTTACTAATACATTTCATCATTGGATGTACATGTATTTTGGTGACAGGCTTTGTTGTAATGATTGAGTAATGGAAATTTCTGTTCTTTCTAAAAACATCAGGTATGTTCATCTTATCCGGAATGTGTTGTGGTGTTGAAGTCAGTCGATGATGAAACATTGATCAAATCAGCTTCATTCAGACAGAATGGTCGATTCCCTGTTTTGTCATATTATCATAAGCCAAATAAGGTTTGTGGTTTATTTACTTTACATATTTGTCCTCATATCGTTTACCAAATAAATTTTATTTTATTTCATTTTACTTATCTTAATTTAAAACCATTTTAAGTAATTGTAAAGTGTTTGATTTGACAATTCCTGATTAATTTAACACGGTGGCTGCTGTTTGTATCACAACTGCAGATGGTGCTGATGAGATGCAGTCAGCCATTGACCGGTCCAAACAACAGGAGATGTAGGGAGGATGAGGTGGTGGTCAACTCGGTGCTCACCACGTCCAGCAGAATCAGGGGGTATATTGTGGACACCCGATCCATCACGTCCACCAAGATGGCAGCTGCCAGGGGTGGGTTGCATCCAATGTTTCATTTTATTTCTTTTATATTTTTTTTCAAATTTTTCACATCTGTTAATTTTTTTATATTTTATTCCATTTTTTTTAAAGTATTTTAACTTATGTTGAATGTATCTGTTTAATATTTGTTGACTTGTTATTCATTGATATTTCTGTTTAAATCTTAAATGAAATGAATTTATTGATGGAGTACATTTATTGATGGAGTATATGGATTGATGGAGTATTTGAATTGATGGAGTATATGGATTGATGGAGTATATGGATTGATGGAGTGTATGGATTGATGGAGTATATAAATTGAATGGAAGTGATGCACCCACCATACAGGAGGAGGTGTCGAACCAGAGGCATACTACCCCCAATGGAGAAGGGTCAACCAACCCATTGAGAGGCCGTCCAACTTGCAGGATTCCCTCACTCGACTTATTGAGGGTTTCTCATATTTCTTGTTTTCATTGTTATAATTGTAAGCAGTGAGGTTTAAAAATGTACTGGTAGAATATTTTATTGTCAGCAAATTTTTACAAAATTTATTTCAACAATTTTACAACATCCATAGTTGTACCACGGGCGGCGCAATGGTGTTATGGCTAAGGAGCCTGGTATTGTTGATGCAGTTTCCGGGTTCGAATGCAAAATGATCCCCGCCTATCACATGCAAAAGTGTGTGATGCATTGATTCACGTGCTTTTATGCACCGTGTGTTTGTTGTAATAATGATAATGCACCTCAGTCGCTTGCCATGGTGCTATATAAAATGACATTATTATTATTATTACCATTCAAACAGAATTACTTTTGACACACGTAGTTCTGTTGAAGTTTTTTCTAGGTATTACTCTATTTGTGAAAATTTGTTCACACAACAAAGCAAATATGCATTTTTGTATTAAATCCAAGAATAAATTATAGATAAATATTCTTCATTTTTATTTCTATTTTAAGCTATAAATTTTTAAATTTAATCTCATTTAATTTAATTCATTAACTAAATCTAATTGAGCTGTTAAACTTTGTAGCTTGTTTAGATGTTGGAGCCTCGATGGACAAATGGCTTTCCAAACTGGACTCGAGCAACTGGCTTGGTCATGTGAAGGATGCACTGACGTGTGCGTGCACAGTGGCTCAGTACATGGAGAATGGTGGCAGTGTGCTGGTTCACGGAGGGGAAGGAACTGACACAACACTGGTCGTTACATCTCTCACTCAACTTATCCTTAATCCGGACTGCAGGACTGTTGTGGGGTTGGTGGGTGGGATGACGTCATTGTTCCACTTCAGTGCTTCATCCTGTTATATAACCACTTCATTTTTTAGTTGCCATCACATTTCTTTTGGTCATCACTCCATCATTGTATTCATTTGAATTTCTCATAAAAAATAAAATAAATGTTGATTAAAATTGTGCAAGCATTGTCATCAGCATTGCACCACCTGACCAGTTTTGAAGCCTTGCTGGCCAGGGAATGGATACAGGCGGGCCATCCTTTCTCGAGTCGATGCTGCAAGTCTGCATTCGCGACCTCAAAGAACAAGCAGGAAGCTCCCATGTTCCTCCTCTTCCTTGATTGTGTTTGGCAGGTTGGGCACCTACTCTCATACTTGTACAACTATTATATAAATCAAAATAAGCACCATTCAATGCTTGCTTGAAATGAAAATCGATCAACTAAAAGCATTTATAAATTTTCGTTGTCATTTTTTTGCAATAATAAAATATTTATTAAAGAAGAAGTGGTTGATGACAATTACTTTGTCTGGAAATTTACCACCAGAAACTCAGCGAGATCTGCCAATTCCATTATGAACCAATTTCATTTCTTTCTATTGATTTATATTTTCAATCTGGCATCTGAATTCATATTTATCAATTTTTTTCTTGTCTCTGCAACCTGGTCAAAGACCATTTATTGTTATTTGTTTCAATTTCTACCATCACTCACCCCTCCATTATTTTGGTTAGTCATATGATTTTTGTAGGCGTACGAATATTATTATCAGATTTCCAAAATTAAAATGAAGTTATTTTTAGTTATTGTTCATGATAAAAATTTGAATGAAAATTTCCATTTTTCTCATTTCCTTGTTTGTAACAAATGGGAATTCGGAGAAAACTTTTTACTAAATGTTTGAATTTTTTTATTTTTATTAGTTTTCAATTTGTCTACAGTTGCACAAACACATTGTCTGCAGTCAGCTGTTTGTAGTCAACTGACCTCATGTACGATTTCTATATACGAACTCTGATGTGTAATATAAAAGCTAGAGTTTTAATGTGTTTTTAATGAATGTGTTTCTTTGGATAAAAAAAGGAACTATTTTCTAATTGTACTTTTGAGACATTTTGAAGAGACCATTGCTGCAAAGTTTTGTTTCTGATGTTCTTGCTGTAACCATCTGACTGCTTTTTCAGGGAATTATTTAAGAAAATTAAATTACCAGTCAAAAAATTAATTACAAACAAATTAGTTTATTTTGTACAAAGCACCTTAAATATCAGTATTAATGTTAATTATTACAATATCAATTTTTTTTAATTTTGTACACAAAACTTTTAATTAATATTTCAGATTTGGCAACAGTTTTCTTGCTCGTTTGAATTCAATGAACAGTTCTTGATCATTTTGTTCAAACACGCTTATGCCTCTCAGTTTGGTGAGTTATTTTCAAACGTCTGCTGTATGCTCTTTTCTACTGAAATTTGTTGTGCTGGAGATCGTAATTGTCCTGGGAAATGTATTCTGGTTTGTGTGAATCACGTGGTCAACTAAATGGACGTTGTATATTGCACATGTGTTGCATGTGTCTGTACTTATTTTGTATGTTGTAGTATATCTATCTGTACTTTTGTTATAGCAGCACTCTCTGTGGTTGATCGTACATTTTTTATTTCATGTTGTGCACCCCTAGTCTCAGTTTTATTTTCCGATATATCGATGCTAATTTTAATGTGATCTCATTATTTTCGTTGAATTCAAAATTAAAGGCACCTTCCTATTTAACAATGAACAAGAAAGATCTGAGAACAAACTCAGTGAAAAGACTATATCACTCTGGTGTGTTTTCATTGGCGTGTATGAATATATATTTTGGAAGGAGACCATATTTTATACAGTATTTTATGAATTCTACCGAATTGTTGGCATTAATCATTTAAAAGTTTGTCTTTTCAATTTTACTCACTAGAATTTTTTGGAAATTGTTCAATTTATTGAAAATTAAATTATTATCCAAGTTCATCATGAAAATTGATGGAAACTGTCACTATCTAAATTGATCATGCAGATAGGCCTTATTTCGATTTTTCACAAATCATCTTCAGTGCAGTGCATTCTATCTTAAAGCGTAATCATATAATAAATGAATTTAAATGCCCTATTGACGACTGTGCGCGTCAACAACATTCGTATATTGGTTTTACGATCACTTCACTATCAAGACGTCTCATAATGCATGCAAAAAGAGGAGCCATCAAATCTCACATGGAATCAACACATGCAACTCCAATAACCCG